GGTTTCAGAGGAGTAGCGATAACAAGGTTTTTAATGAAAAGGGCAATAACTTTTAAAGGGGTCAAACTTTGGGGACAAGTATGAAATATTTGAAATAGTTTTAAGAGGACATAATAAAGATGCAAAGATATATAGTATATGTTGAAAGACAAAAAAGATATAAAAAGAGCTTAATTTCTCATTTTTGGAATGACCTTGACCTTTGACCTTTTATATATTTTAAGGTTAAAGGTCAATGAATCTTATGCAGTTGGTCCCATGTCTCTACGACTTATCGTTTTGAAAATTTTTAATTATTCGTAAACATCAAAAACTTTCAGGGGCAATAACTCATAAAAGGGGTCCACGAATACTTTCGCAATGAAAAGATTGAAGAGTCCCCTCAATTAGTCGAAGACATTGGTGAAGGTTTCGTACCTCTACGGTTTATGGTTTCAAAGGAGTAGCGATAACAAGGTTTTTCGTACAAGGGGCAAGAACTCCAAAAGGGGTCATAGGTCATACTCGTTGGGTACTTTTTCGAAATAACTTTTGATGTCAAGTATCATGAACTATAAAGTTATTCGATAAGTCTTTCGGTTCAAAAGGCCGTAGCGGAAAAATAATAATAATAATAATAATAAACAGAAGCATTTCAAGAGGTCTTTCCACAGAAAGGTGGAAAGACCTAATAATAATAATAATAATAAACAGAAGAAAATCAATAGGTCTTTCCACAGAAAGGTGGAAAGACCTAATAACTAGTAGACTAATTGTTCTTGAACAATTAGAGGTCTTTCCACCTTCTTTAAATTTCATATATTTTTGATATTTTACTCTCTAAAGTTAATTTTTAAACAAAAAGAATCCATAAATGGCTTAAAAGATAGAAAAAATGAAAAATTCAAAAATTTTGAAATGACCTTGACCTTTGACCTTGAAAAAATATTCAAGGTCAAAGGTCAAGGGTCACATTGCACTTGACCCCATGCTTCTACGACTTTTAGTTTTAAAGTTATAAGGTTTAATAGTAAGCACAAAGACGTTAAAGGGTGATAACTCCTATAAGGGGTCATCGGATACTTTCGCACTGAATAGATTGAAGTTGCGTCTAAAGACCCTGAAGACAGTGGTGAAGGTTTTGTGTCTCTACAGTTTACCGTTTCGGAGGAGTAGCGATAACAAGGTTTTCAGTAAAAGGGGCAATAACTTTTAAAGGGGTAAATCTTACGGAACAGGTATGAAATCTTTGAAATAGTTTTAAGAGGACATATTAAGGATGCAAAGATATTTAGTATATGTTGAAAGACAAAAGAGATATAAAAAGAGCTTAATTTCTCATATTTTGAATGACTTTGACCTTTGACCTTTGCATATATTTTAAGGTCAAAGGTCAATGAATCTTATGCAGTTAGTCCCATGTCTCTACGACTTATCGTTTTGAAAATTTTTAATTATTTGTAAACATCAAAAACTTTCAGGGGCAATAACTCATAAAAGGGGTTAATGAATACTTTCGCAATGAAAAGATTGAAGAGTCCCCTCAATTAGTCGAATACATTGGTGAAGGTTTCGTACCTCTACGGTTTACGGTTTCGAAGGAGTAGCGATAACAAGCTTATATTGCGAAAGGGGTAATAACTCTTTGAGAGGTCAAAGTTCATATACGCAGGGTCAACTGCAAAAATCTTTTACGGAGTACATTCTTATGGACTATAAATCTTTTCGATATATCTTGAAACTCAAAATCACACGGCGGAAAAATAATAAAAAATAAGAAACAGAAGAATATCAATAGGTCTTTCCACGGAAAGGTGGAAAGACCTAATATACATAAGCATTTCAATAGGTCTTTCCACAGAAAGGTGGAAAGACCTAATAAATGAAAGTAATGTCAAAGGAAAGGTCAAGGTCAAAAAATGTTGATGCAATTGAAAAGTTACATCAGTATGTATCAACATATGAAGTTTGATTACACAATCTTGAATGGTATCTTTAAAACTGAGCTAAACACTAATTTAAGAAAAGTGAGTTCAAGGTCAAGGTCAAAAAATGTTGATGCAGTTGCATAGCTCTCATCAATATCTATCAGCATATGAAGTTTGATAAAAAAAATCTTGGATAGTTTCTTTGAAACTGAGCTTTGAACAGAGCTAAACACAAAGCGCGATCGAAAGACAGACGGAAGGATGGAAGGATGGAAGTCGCACATTCAAACACTATATGCCACAGCCATATTCATGGTGGGGCATAAAAATTGTGGGATTTAACACATATACCTATATACATCTCACATAGACAAAACACAGAGAGAACAATATTTGATTATTTACTGTAATTTTAGATTACATGTAAAATTTATATTTCTTCTCAAAAGGGATGTAAAATTCAACTTTAAATAAACAACTATTCAAATATGTACATCATAACCAAAAGAAGGCAGTATTCAATAAGTGCATTTCTTGAGAGCTCTAAGCATTTTTTGTTTTCATTTTTTTGAATTGAAGATGAGGGAGGAACAACAAAATAATCCAAGTGTGGCATATGAATAATTATGTCATTATACAGTTATCAGATTCTACAACATTGTAATTTCAAATTCACCCATTGAAATAATTAAGAACTGTGATAAAGAAACCATTTTATTTGAATTAGGCTATAACAAATATAATCTGGTAAAATAAAAAAAAACATAAACAAAACAATTGAAACAGTATATATTATTTCAAGTAAATAAAATCTTGGAATGAAATTAAACTACGTTGAATATCCAAATTCATTAACAAAGGAGCCCAGTATCAATGATTTTTTTATCGTTACATGTATATAACAAAATGAGGCACTTCTTAGCTTTTGACACCTTATAAATTAGCACAAATTTACAAGCATCTCATGAATTACTGAATATCAGAATGACATGCACGCATATATAATATCTAGATTTAGTGACATAAGATGATATTATTGAACATATTGTCATTATGATCAATTTATTATTGACTGCAGGATAGATTTAAACAGAATACACAACCAAAACTCCTGTGTTATGTGAACATTAACACTCTTCATTAATTTAAATAACATCCACATATGTTATAATGAGAAGACATTTGTAATCAAGCTGGGTTATTTCATCTGTTCTGTTCTGTTAAACAATAAAATTCTTTCTTTGGTTGTTAGTATGGGAAATAATGTCGCAGCTGTTGCAGAAAAAATACATAACTCGCATAAGCAGGTTATGTGAATTTATTTTTTTGCAATTCCTGTACTAACAAAGAAAGACATTTTATTACTTATATTTATATCTTTATAATAAAAACATTCAAAGTAAATTAAATATGTTAAATACTGTATTACAGATCTGTATGTCATTGCATGCATAATTGATGGAAGAGCCGTTGCTTAAGAAATCTATGCAGGTGGCTTGCTTAGTGTTGTTTATGGACTGATTAACGGCAATGGTTTTTATAAGAAATAAAGGAAATAATATTCAGTGGATGTAAAAATTATATCAACAAGAGGACATGAACAGATGAGATACATGCATTGTTATGTACTTATTTTAGCTTAATTTAAAATCTAGCACAAATATGGACCAACAGCTGTTGAGCACAACATGAACTTCTAAAAAATAGAACTTTATGCATGTATGCATTTTGGCAGTATTTATGGGTTAGCTTGATTCTTGCTACATTTGTAAGTAAGTACACAAACTCTACACGTAGATTCACCATTTTGCCTATTAAACTGTAAATCATCACTTTTTTGAAAATCCTTATTCTACTATAACAGCTAAGTTGGACAGCTGGAAAAATATTCTTCGAAACTAAAGAAGTGTACAACCAAATAAAATTAACATTCAAATCAACAACTAATAAAGAATTTTTCCAACTCTTTAGATTCAAATATAACTTAAACTGACTTTCTAACTGCTTTCAAGAATAAATTTTCATTATCAAAATATAATAATTAAAAAAACAAAACAAAAAACAACAGCTTTAATCCTATAAACACCACATTTCTCTTCCAAAGAAGAGATAAACTAGCAATACAAATTGTTTTGTCTATATTCATCTCAAAGAGACAAAAAATCAGAGAGAGAACATTATTTGATTATTTTCTGTAAGTTCAGATAACATGTAAAATATATATTTCTTCTCAAAAGGAATGTAAAATTCAACATTTAATAAACAACTATTATAACACGTACATCATAACAAAAACAAAAACCATGAAGTATTCATCATCCAAAATAAAACAATACCGGTAATTACAATTTCTTGTTAGCTGCAAGCTTTTGTTTTTCAATTTTTTTTAAACTGAAGATAAGGGAGAAACAGGAAAATAATCCCAGTATCAACTCAGAACAAATCGAAAAATTTTACCCATTTTTCCATAACAACGGGTTTTCAGTTACTGTTTCAAAGTAAGAGTTAATCACCCTTAAATACCCGTACACTATTACCCCCCAAATTTGAGCCATTGATATAAAATACCATAATGGTACAAAATGTACTCATTTGAACAATGCTGAAAGTACATGTATAAAAAAATACAATTTGCTTGGGTTTGGCAAAGATGAATTTCTCACACATGCTACAATGAGACTAATTGTATAACAATTAATATGAGATTTAACCTAATATGATGAAAAAATAGTGTCAAGTCTAATGCAGTGCAAATGGCACATAAAAAAACAAATATTTTAGAATACACACAAAACATCAAAGTAATGAATATATATGTAATGAATGTTAGCAATTTGTTAAAATAAATGGAAAGTGGAAGAAGGGGGTGGGGGGTGGGGGGGGGGAGTAAAAATTGTAAAAGGATATAAGGTCACTTGAATAATTCACATAATCCACCATAAATATCTTTAGAAATTCAGCACAATTTTGATCCTTAACTGTTCAATTTTCACAAGGTCTACATATACCGGTAAGTAAAAATTACTTGAACATTTTATATTACAGGATACTGAAAATATTGTGAAATATACAACCTTATTTTAAAAAGGAAGGTATACTTTACAGGGATGATTATTACATTGCAAGCAGATCAATCATATCAGATCAAGATTAATCGCAGTTTTTGACAACGTATTGGATTATAAATCATATAACATGACCATTATAGCTACACAAAACATTCTCCTTCACTGGGCTCCAGTCGCTGTTTTTGCCAATGGGGAGGTGGAGAGACTTGCTGCAGTTTTACGTCCTTTCCTGTTCCAGCTATTGAGATTGCTGAGTTATTTCTACTGTCTTTGATGTCTGTTGCAGTGGCACCACCTGAAATCACACATTTACTTTTCTGGGTAAATATGCACGAGTTCGAATTGCGTTTCTCACTAAATAACCTGGAGTTGGATGTTTCTTGTTCTGGGAAAAGCTGTGAATCTGACACAAAATCGTCAGAAACCAAATGAGATGTAGAGTGTGTTTGATAATCTTGTGTGAGAATGTCAGAGTCTAGAGTCCCACTGTCGTCTGCAAAGAGCTTGGAATCATTTTCTCCACAGTCCTCTTCTGTGGTTTCTGTTGGACTGGAGGGAGTATAATGGACAATGCTGGGTGTCTGATGATGTGGAACTTCTGAAACTGATGGTGCTTCAGGTGTCACCAGATCACTTTCTTCTTCATCAACCTCCTCTACAAGGGTATCGTCATCCTCTTCTTCTTCATCTTGTTGTCCATAATAACCATCTTCAACTTCCTCCTCAACTCCATTAACCAATTCCTCCTCATACTCCACTGATTCTCCAGTGTCATATTCTTCATCTTCTTCTCCCTCCATTTCTAGCGCCTCCTTGTATTTCTCAAAGAGTGACATAACACCAAAAGACTTCTTGCCGACAGCTGCTATTTCCTGTGCCAATCTCTCCTGATTTCCCCCTGGAAGATCATTAATTTCCTCAACGTTTTCAGGTGTGATTTCAGATTCAGACGGATTTTGTATGACAATGACAGATTCACTGTATTCTTGAACAGAGGTATCAGTGAGTGTCATTTCCTGTATGCCAGAAACAGTTATCTCCACTTCTGCAGGATCAACATCACTAGATGGCTCTGCACTCACACACTCTTGCTGCACTATTTGTGCAGGTTGTGCCTCAGATGGAATGAGTAAACTTTCCTCAAATGCTTGTATTTCCTCTAGTTTATGCATGTCTGATTGATAAATATCTCCATGGCCCAGTGTTGGCATCTCATGGGAGGTCAATGAATCTGGCTGCTGTATTTCTTCCTCCTCTAACTTCTGAAGTTTCTGGGGATCTGATGGATATTCAGATTCCAAGTCCTGCAATTTTTGTGGATCAGATTCATAAGTAGGATGTGCATTCAAATACCCAGGTATTTCCTCTGATTTTAGTCCAGAATCATAGCCCATCTGTAACCTCATGGCTTCTGTTATGGGCTGACCTGCCATGCCCCCTACAAAGGCTTGCTGGTATATAAAGCCTTGTGGAGGCATACCTGTCATATACACCTGCTGATGCATGCCCGCTGGGAAGCCTTGCTGAGAGATTATTGAGGCAGGTTGTTGTGGCACTGCCATCAGACCAGGTTGGTGGTATCCATTGCTTGTGTAGGAGAATTCGTCCATTCTGGTATCTCCCTGATCTGAAATGGGTCCAAATGGAGGGCATCCACTGTACATCTCCACATTTTCTATGGAATAAGGAAATAAAATTTTCAGCATTTCAAACCTATTAAGATTTACAGAGTACTGTATAAAGGGAAAATAACAAATAATCACATGCGGGGATCCAGGAATTTTTTCCCTGGGGGAGGTCCACAACAACTCAAATACAAGACTCAAAAAAAAAATAAAAATAAATAACAACTACCCCAACCCTGAGTAACCTATTTTTGGGGGGAGGTGGGGTGGGTGGGTTTAGGGAGCCACTTTCTCAAGTCAATTGAATCTCCTTACCACTTGATGAGGAGTCCCTGTTTTGGGGGGAGGGGTTCAATGTCATGTGATCATGTCAGAATAAGAGATAAATGTGAAAATTACAACCCCCTGGAATTAATCCCCTATACAGTAGTATAAGTACTGTGCACTGCACTTGCATTTTGTTGCTTTTTTTTGGATAATTTTAAGCTTGACTGTTTATTGGTTCCCAAGCTGTATTCTTTTTAAATAATTTTCTTGCCTCAAACCATGTAAACTGACCTTGGCATTTTGTAGTGTATTTCTGACTGAGAGCTGCCTCCATTTCACTCAATTCTGTATGGACCTTTGAACAAATCAAAACACATTATCATTTGATATTCAAGCCGTTTGATTTTTCTTTTTGTAACTTTCATCAAAATAACATCAAATTAAATCTCATCACTAGACATCAGTTGATACCTGAACCATATCTGGCCTCTCCCTCTTAAGTTGAGATGTACACCTCATGGCAGTTCCGAAGAAATGTTTGGCTACATCATCTGCGACGAATCCAGCCCTCCTGTCCCTCAGTTCCATGCATTTCTCCTCACTATCACTAAAGTCCTTTATGTAGTCCTTCTATAAAGATAAAATCCTTCTCTGATATAATACAGTCAAACCTCAATATCTACAACTCAATGGTGCCAAGAAAAAAATGAGATATCCAGATATGAGATACTGAGGTTGAAATACAGTTGAACTTCGGTATCTCGAATATGAGTATCTCCAATACCATGGATATGTCGAAGAGATTGGAAAGTCCTTTCCCCGATTTCTTAAGTATATTACCTTTTCTTGAACCCTTTGAAGTTTTTTCTCGGTCCCATCAAGTTTGAGATAACGAGATTTGACTCTACATTAAAAAATAGTGATTTGGACTTCTAATTCACATCCATGGTATTTGAGATATCAGCGTTTGAGATACCTCAGTTCATTGTATACAATGTAAGTAAATAAGTGTACGTTATATAAGTAAACCATCTTCACATGGTGATTTAAATATAAAGGATCTTAAAGGGAGTGGTTTATGAATTTAACATTTATATTTCTTACAATGACTATTCTAATGACAAGCATATTAATCAGAAGAAATTGCTGCAACAATCAGAGAGATGTACATGTACATAAATTACTAAACACTACACAAAACATTGAACACTAAATAAATTTCTTACCAGAAACTGACCCCCTTCCCTCTTATCATCATAAGCTGCCTCTCCAGTGAAAACCTCCAACATTACCTGCAGAAATAATTTCTTTTGTTACAAACTTGATTTATATTAGTAGCATTACATTCTCTCTAACTCTTTCCTATTCATCAAATCATGAATTGATCACTCTTTAAAAAAAAAAAAATTAAAAATGCCACCTTACCTCCATATCAAACACATTTTGTCTCTGAACATTATTTGAAACAAATATACCTGTATTTTAACATCAAACCTTTTTTTTAATGTGTCTCTGTGGAATATCTGTCTATATTTAGGTGTTTGTTGCTAGAAGTATGTGATGATTTGTATACAGCATGTACAGCGTACGTGGATAAGCCATTTTTGCAAGAATTAGCGGTATCACATTTCCAATTCTAGTCATCACAACCATAAATACCAACACTAATTCCTTATACGTCATAGTACATGTATATTTAAGAAATGAATTTAATTTTTGAGAATTCATGAGGACATGAACTAGGATGCTTCATGCCAGCATATTTCATGAAGCTCATTAGCACTTCATGATAAATATGCAGGCGTGAAGCGTTGTAGTTCATGTACCTCCATCGTCTCAAGCCACGGTCCGGAGTCCGCATATAGCTCTCTCCTACCCATGGCTGCTTGATCACAAAAAGTGTCGTAATCTTCAATATTTAGGCCTATATATTGTGATGTCATGTTCAGCCAATGACAAAATTTGTTTCCATCGCAACTGAAATCAACAATTGACATCAACAGTATCCAAGAAATGTTTCGTATACTGCGATTGGGTATTGAAAGGTCGAGTTAAAGTTCATTATCCGACTATGCTTTACTCCCATTGGCCAATATTTTAATGAGCTACGAAATATTCTCTTCTCATTCAACCACGGCCAGAATGGGAGAGGATCGTGTATTTTGGCCGTGGTTTGCGACGATGATATACCTCATGAATTCTCAAAAATTAAATTCATTTCTTATATTATATACATTATTTTTCTGATGACTTGCCACATATTTTTGTCATTCAACGATCATTTTTGAAAAAAAGTTTGCACTATTTTTCGACCTCAATTACCTCACAATGGAAATATTCCTACTCATCCCACGGTAGTTCATGAGAACATGAACTTTTTCTAATTTACAAAGAATCCTAAGGAAAAATGTATTTGGAAATGTAAATATTTCCTCAAGAAATCGCATGGATGAGCAGGAATATCTCCATGACGTGAAAAATGTATTGCAATGCAGTCTTCTTTGTCTCCTCAAAAATGATAGTTCAATTAAATGACAATTTGTGGCTAGTCATCAGATAAATAATGTAAATATTAACATTTAAAAGAAAACTAGAAATATGTCCATAGGACATGAATGCCCCGCCATGGATATATTAGTAATGCAACATGAAAATTTGTATTAGTGTATGAAATTTGATGAGAATATCTTGAATAGTTTCTTTAAAATTGAAATCTAAAAAGTTGGATATAGATGATAAATTCTCACCAAATTATGCATAAGTGCATAGGCTTACATAAATATATCTTAAATGGTTTCTTTAAAATTAAGCAAAATTCAAAAGAAAAGTAAGGTCAAGGTCACAGGAAAGGTCAAGTCAAACATTTTTGATGCAGTTGAATAGCTCTCATATATATGTATCAGCATATTAAGTTTGATAAAAATATTTAGAATGGTTTATTTAAAACTGAGCTAAACACTAATTTAAAATAAATGAAGTTAAGGTAAAAAAAAGGTCAAGGTCAAAAAATGTTGATGCAGTTGAAAAGCTTACATCAGTATGTATTAGCATATGAAGTTTGATAAAATATAATGAATGGTTTCTTTAAAACTGAGTTAAACACAAATTATGAAAGTGAGGTCAAGGTCAAAGGAAAGGTCAAGGTCAAAAAATGTTGATGCAGTTGAATAGCTCTCATCAGTATGTATCAGCATATGAAGTTTGATGAAAATATCTTGAATGGTTTCTTTAAAACTGAGCTAAACAATAATTTAAGAAAAGTGAGGTCAAGGTCAAAAGAAAGGTCAAGGTCAAAAAAATGTTGATGCAGTTGAATAGCTCTCATCAGTATGTATCAGCATATGAAGTTTGATTACACTATCTTGAATGGTATCTTGAATGGTATCTTTAAAACTGAGCTAAACACTAATTTAGGAAAAGTGAGGTGAAGGTCAATGGAAAGGTCAAGGTCAAAAAATGTTGATGCAGTTGCATAGCTCTCATCAATATCTATTAGCATATAAAGTTTGATGAAAATATCTCGGAAAATTTCTTTGGAAATGAGCTTTGAACTGAGCTAAACGCAAAATGCGACGGAAGGACAGACGGAAGGATGGAAGGACAGAAGACGGACATGACAAACACTATATGCCCCGGCCATATTCATGGTAGAGCATAAAAAATATCCCTCCTCTCTCTGACCTCCCTTTTTCCTCTCAAAAATTCAATTTAGATATTAGCCATTCCTTTCATCCATAATCTCATTACTAGGATATGACCCTCGATTTAACTAGCATGGTTATTATATCAGTATAACTGACTTAATAAGTAATCTAAAATATTTACATTTGCTAATGCTTGTTAATAATATCAGATTCAGTATTGCCTTATGCAATTATAATGTGCTCGAACATTGGTTACCACCTAAAAAGCCATAACAATAGACAAATATTCCTCAATTAAAATGACTTGGGATATACTTACAACCCCAAAAGAGAAGGTGTCCCCTTTTATTGACATGGCATTCCCTCTTATAACCTCTGGTGGGAGGTATGCCTTGGTCTGGTACTGTTTTGTGCCTGTCTGTTTCTTGGTGATATGTGTCAATTTTCCCGATTGGCCACTCCCACCTGTCGCATGCTTAGCCAATCCAAGGTCTCCTATTTTGGCTTCCATGTGTTTGTCCAATAGAATGTTTGAACTACAGTATAATAAAAACTGTTTCAAAATCAAGGGGTTTTTTTTATGCACAAACGCATTTAACTGCATTTCATAAACACGATACTGTAGAAGCATAAATTTTTGTGGGGATAAAATTACATTGATATGTCACCTAAAAAGGTTTTGTGGGCATTAAATTTCATTGTTTCGAAAATAACCCTTTTCAATATGTATCATATAAAAATTTTGTGTGGGATTTAATTTGTTGATAATTGTTAACAACAAAATAAACGAAATTTAATCCCTGCTTTTCTGCTTTTACAGAATGCCCAATCTTTTTCTAAATTATAAAACTGAAGAAAAAAAATTCAGTCAACAGTGCAAACTAGCTCTACTTTAGACATTTTACACACCATTTAATGTCTCCATGGATGAGAGGTTTCTGGTCCAGTGTATGTAGATACTGTAATCCACAAGCTGCCCCCTTCATAATATCTATCCTCTGGGTCCAAGTCAATGGCTGGGTATTATTCTGCAAGTCAGGTGATCATAAATATCTTGCTACAAGTCCTTATAGCTTTAGACAGAAGACTGCAGCATATACATGTACAACATAATTACAAAAACATTAACTTTAAAAAAAAAAAGAAATAAAAGCCTTTGAAGTTCATTTTGTAAAAAATTAAACAAATTTGATACAGTAATCAAAAACACAATCAGTTGAAAAGTGACAACAGGAACAACTACATTTACCTGTAACCCCCCCCCCCCCCTCCTGGAATTTGATACTGTGCTACTTTACCTTACACTTCAGACGGTCATCCAGAGAGCCACTCTGCATGTACTGGTATACTAGACAGGTCTCCCCCTCCTCCAGTGTGTAACCATAGAGAGGGACTATGTTTTCATGTCTGTATCTACAATAAAATATGGTTAACTGTACACTGTAGCTGTACAATCATTTTTTCAAATTATTATGTCTGGAATACACTACATATGCAATTAATTTTACAAATGAAAAAAAAAACATAATATTTTTGTTCAGTTTATAACTGGAGGTCTATTACATACAATTCAAAATTCATGTATTCTCTCTCATAGAGAACTTTGTGTAAAGACAACTTACTTGATGAGTGATTTCAGTTCTGATGTCAAATGCTCCTGATAATTCAAGCTTTCATCCTGTTTCTATGTAATACAAAACTTCATCTGAATATGTGTACCATAAAATTCTACTTGCATTAAATCAAAATGCATATGTTGTAATTACAATTTTTTTATTCACAATACATTCAAGTAATAAGCAGGTAGTATTAATGGTGAACTCACTGGAAACAGTCTCTTGATTGCACAGGAGGTTCTTTTCAGGAATCCCCTAAACACCTCCCCAAATGCCCCCTCTCCTATCTTGTATTCCTCACTGAATCCATTAGTGGCATGGTTCAATTCCTTGTTGGTGAAACTCTGAGTTCCCACCAAGGCCACAGCTACATCAAAGTCACATCTTCCCTCCTTAGCTAGAGAGGAGTAGCCATCTTTATTTCTGTGAAAACAAATTAACATCTTATAGTACAAATGTATGAGAGTAAAATACATTGGATACAGTACATAATATATTGTCACTTAAAGGAAGAGAATTGTTGAACAACATTGTCTTACAAGTATTTATTTAATTTTCAGATTCTCTGTTTAACAATAAAAGTATAAGGCCTGAAAAAAAGTAAAAATTTCAGTTCCACTTACTTGAGAGTCTCCATCCAGCTGGACTCCAGGGACTTCTCCCCCAGATCCCCTTTCCCCTGAGCAGGGCCGCCCATCTCACACTTGTCCACCTTGACAGAAGACATTGACTTCCCCACACAACAAGAGGAGGAAGTGCTAGATAGTCCTGATGTCTCTTTCACGATTCCCTGGCAACCAATCAAATCAATCCTTGTATATTATACAACCAATTAAATCAATCCTAGTCTATTACACAACCAAATGAAATTATGAACAAATTAACACTCTGGAGAACAAATGTCATTCTTTTAAATGTATTGTACTACTTCATATAATTCAAGATGTGTTGAGAAGACTAGTGCCTCTCCATAAATTGACTCAAAAATCCAAGCAAGATGTACATATACCTTTTAATATAGACTGACATTATTTACAAGCCCCCACCTACCCAAAATCACATGTTACATGCTCTCTGTTATTCTTCACCTCTCTGTAAGAGTCAACTGCATATTGCAATAACAGTATAATATCTTCTCAGTAAAAGTTTCTGTAAATAATGGGCACTTGAAAAAAATTACGACAGTCTTTGCTTACTTTGCATCTCTGGGCTTATATATGTACATGTATATACATGTACACTTAATTTTCCCAAGTTTGTGTGTAGAGAAGTCCCTAATTTGCATAAACACATAGTAAAACTCACATCTTAAGGAACTAGAACATAAGGAAATCTTGGTTATGTCTTTCCCATCCCTTTCTTATACTGTCAGATATAAAGAAATTTGATTGTAACTAAGGAACTAATAATTCATGACCTGAGGACTTTCTTATCATCAAACTTTACTGTATTCATTCACCATTGTGATTTTCAGATATTTCAAGCCCCATTCTCAAATAAATAATGGCTGACAAAACTGACTTGATCAACATGGACATTTCTATAGTTCTGCCATATTTCCAAACCTTGATACAACGATCATTTTCAAATCACTATTTACCAGGTAGTCGTGTTTCTTCTGAGGGTAGAACCTCTCATCTGTCAGTGATGGTATAGCCTTGTACTCTGCATGTTTCTTTGTGGCTTTGTCTTTTGGGTTCTCTGGAGTGTTCAGATTGACGTTCTTGTCTGACATGGAAGTGGAACCATTCATGGATGACGTACTCCACGCCCCACTGCTTACCTTTGTGCTACTTTTACTTGGAGGGGCTGGGAGGTCTAAAAAAAAGAGTGTCACAAATCATACTGTAGATACACACAAATACTTCAAATCACAGCCCCATGCGTCCTGTGGGACATGTACATTGAGAGGATAAGTAAGTAAACTGTAAACCAGGTATTTTTGCTTTGTGTTATTTTTGCACTTTTACGCTTGCAAATAATTTTGCCTGTTTTAAATTTGTCAAGAGATAGCTGTGTTTAAGAGATAGTGCTGTCATTTTTAAAATTTGCCCCATTTTAAATTCACCCACATGCAACAAGGGTGAAAAGGGCAAAAATAAAATGGAGGCATAAACTTCCTTGTATACCGTACTTAAAACTACAGTAAAACTTGGTTATAGCGAAGTCCTAAAGAATGGTTCACTATACAACTGTAACTGTAATTCTTTAAATTCATATAATGAATTCATAAAAGTATATACATGTATATTGAATTCACAATATAAACTTGCTTTGGAGTATTTAAGTTTCTTCATAAATTGAGTTTCAAATATAAAAGTTAAGAAAAATAATGCCAGTTCTACAATTTTAATTTTTTTTATTGTTAAAAATTTGCTATAAAAGATGGACATAAAATTTTGTTATTTCTAACTCCTACAGGACACAAAATCAGTTCTGATGTGGATTTAAAAAAAAACACTTTGCTTTAACTGTAAGTTCACTAAATCCACTATATTTGTACTAAGAGTTTTACTGTATTCTTTGATAACTTGAAGGATAAATGCTATTATAATTTCAAAACTTTACTGTAATAAGTAAAACATCAAAATACAACAATGCTGTCAGTGATTAGTTTGTCAAATTAAAACATGATCTTTTGAACCTCTCACATAAATCGCTACACAAGGATCTGAAGAAACCCCATTCAGGGTCATTTCCTTGTGACCTTTCAATTATCCAATCAAACGTTTGCTGACAAGAATCTGCCAGTATCTAAGAATTCAGTTGTAGAGTTATAAGTACCAATGATATAATAACAGGGTATTGTCAGCTGGTTTCCGCAGCATGTCTTTAGAATATCCACACATTCTTTTCTTCGCATACCATATTTGCCTTTGCTCTATTTTTAGCTGTTTGGTTTGTATGTAACATTAATATCTTCTCTATAGCTACTTTTACTTCCATCTTTGTTTTCCCCCCAATGTCGATTAAGTACGATCGCTCTGATTGGTAAAAATTTTAACAAATAATTATGTTGGAAAGGTCACCAGATGACCCTGAATGGGCTTTCTTCATATCCTTGTGTAGCAATCTACGTGAACAGATCAAAGGATCTGATTTTATCAGATGGGTCAGAAGATTTTATTCATATTGAAAGACTTGATTTATAAATAAATGTTTGGCATGAAATATACAATGTGCGAGTAGTAACATGATCAGGAATGGATAACTTTGAATCTTCTGTCAGTTACAGTAACTGTTTTATAATGTGATAATACATGGATTACATTTTAATATTATTCACAAGTTAAACATAAGCATCAGATGAAATGCATCTGAGATACAAGGAGGCTGGAAATTTTCATAACTTCATGTATTTCAAGTACATCTGGAATTTCCCATGGCTTTTAAGTCAAAAATCAAATAAACTACTATTATAATTTACAATAAATAACCAGAAAAACCAATCATTCAACATTTGTTCAATGATATGAATGAATTATGAATAAAACCATGAAATTTCCTAAATTGTGTGGGAGTGTTATGCACTTTTAACAGGTGTATATAAGAGCCCTTAATTCTGTGAATCATTGACCATGTTGACACAGGGAAATAATTTAAGTATATTAGACTGAGCGTGATTGGGAAATGATTTATTATATTTTAGCATGAATGGATATATATAAATCACATTCATGTTCTGATTATGACATCATAATAGAGTGAAGAAACACAGGGGTGGATCAATCTATTTCATAAACTTTAAATACTGACAAGATGGTTTAAAACTTCTAAATATTTTTTACATTAAATGTTGAAGCATAACAAGCTGTACAAAAACTACATATTAAAAACTGATGATTTAACAATACTAAGCATCTAAATTAACAGAGACTATGATGTAGTCAATTGAGTCATGTGAGATGTGTCCTGTCTCTCCTAATTTTGTAGATGGATATACATTTACACATACATGTAAATAGGTAAACAAAAACTACCTAAATTGTCTAAAGTACTTTTATATGTGTGTACTTCATAGAAATTATTTGAGTGCACGAGTACTTACTGGTATTATCCAGGGCCCTGATGATCATGGAGGGCGTGTCCGTCCCGTTACAGAGGGATTCGTCGTGACTTTGGAATGGAACCTTGTTTGGTTTACTCTCACAGTTAACTTAAAAAAAAATTTCAAAGATGTGTATTCACTGTTTAGGCTTTCACTGACCTTTGACATACTTAAGACTGAAAACAAACATATTTTACCAAAATATGAAAACTAACACATATTTTAAAACAATTAGGTATTTAGTTTACTATTTACAAGTGTTAGTTTAAGTATTTTTTACAATAGTATGAAACTATAGGTCATAAACTATAGTGCTATGCTTTCTATGGTAACTGCACATGCAGCATCAGAAAACTAAATATGCTAAAGGACAATGCAAAAAATGTGAAAATCTCTATATTAAATAAAATTTCTTGTTGCAATTTTTTATTTAATTGTGTATTTATGAAGAACATTTCTTCAGTCATGAAAATTACTCGTAGTGGATGGAATTCAAACTGACAAATTGCAGAGACAAGTTGTCGCGAATAATAGTTGATTAAACAGTAATTTAATTTCACTCACAGTATGACTCTAGAAGCTGCATCTCTCTCCTCCTCCCTATCCTCTGTAATATGAGGAACAGGTCCCTGGCCGTGGCATTCTTCGATCCCCAGTCACTCAGCACTTCTCTACATGGACTACCATTAGGGTGCTGGAAAGCCATCTCAAAAATTCTTACATCCTGAATGGTGTATCCTATCTCTGAAGCTGCAAAACACATTCAAATGAAACACATAACAATGATTTACACATCTTGAAAGTGATGCGAATTCAAATATTAAAGAAAATTGATGTCCTATTTTGAGTTTATATATTTGATATTTGTGGCAGATTTCCATGCTTTCTAGCTGTCTTGCATTTTTTTTTGTTAAAGTTATCAAACCACAAAAAGGTTTTTTTTTCTGTTCAGCTAGTCCGATGGACTATTGTTTCATTTAAATTAGCTAGCCCGAATCTTAAAAAGACTAGCCCCGGGCATTGGGCTACTGTATATTTTATTCCCTGATGACATTTTTGATATCCTCTAGTATTCTCTTGTCAATTTTGATTTTTAATTAAGGCACAACATGACAAGTAAAGGAGACTGGCAAAAACAAGAAAATCTTTTAAATGTATTTGACCCAAGGTTTGTTCATGTTAACCCCAAATATTCCCCAACAAAACACTTATTAGGCCTGTTTAGTGGTTACTGGCTGTCTATGCAGAAAAATTGTTTGGTTGTTAATAAAAGCCCATTGAAGGCAAGGCAAAGCCCTGTATGGACTTTTAGAAGAAATTTCTGTAGACAGTATTAGACCAGAGACATATATGTCTCTGATTAGACCTATTAACTGATTAATAAGTTATTTTAGCTCTTTCTTTGTAAAGCAGTGACACAGGCTATATAGAGGATATTCCATGTTTTGTAGATGAATATGGAATTTATTTCACGAGTGGGACAGGATTTTTTGATATTTTCACGAGTGCGAAGCACGAGTGAAAATATCACAAAAATCCTGTCTCACGAGTGAAATAAATTTCATATTCATCTACAAAACATTGAATTTTCTGTTTATTACATTTTCTTTGATTTTCCCTTTGATTCTGTCTTTTCTTAACACAGTGTCATAGGCTTGACGTCATAGTTGAGCGGTTGAGACGTCATAGCTTAGCAGTTGTGAGATTGAAAACATTACATAGCATGGATTTTAGCAACATATTTGGGGAGAAATGTGCAGTTTTAGCTCTATCAAGATGGTTAGTTACTACCTCTATCTTATGATAGGCCAGAAATTATTTTTTACTTACTTTGATATCCTTTCACACTGTGAGAGAATATCATTTTGGGTATCCTTTCACAGTGTGAGAGAATATCACTTTTATTCAATAAATAAATCACAGTATTTCACTGTTGAAAATGTAATAAGAACTTGTTATTTAACATTATGAAAAAATAATACCTGTTATTTTCTCACCATATTAATTATGAATTATATTCAACGGATATTAAAACTACTGACAACTGTACAAATTTCTCTGTTAAAAATGAAATTAAATACCGTAAATAAATATTTCCTCTGACTTTGGACACCTCTATTTCGTCAACAAGGACGTCATGACCAAGTAATTTGTTTAAATACTAATTTTAATATGTTAGACCAATTTTCCAAAGTAAAATTAATGTATACGCAAAACATCGAGGTCAACCATTTCAGTATAATCTTTGACAGAAATTAGTTTCTCTGAATTGATTCTTATAATTATTATTTACCTAATTTTTCCCATGCTTTATCCACATCTAGATTACAACATATTTGTCGAGTGATACTATATGGAAGGTCGTATATAAAATGACTCTCTCGACTTCGGTGATGTTTTTTCCCTGACGCCATGTTTACATCTCTGTCATCGGAAAAGGAAGTAAAAACCAAGCTCGATTGGTCGGTTGTACAGGTGTATAGTCTAATCGTCTCGCGTGTAATTTTTATCCGAGCGTATCCGGAGAATCAGCTGGAAGTTTTCAAACTTGAAGCCCGTAAGGTAAACTTTTAACATTGGGATAGGCTAAACTTCTTCTTTTTACTCTCTTTGATTCATGTTGATTCAACTGATACTCTGGCAACAATTCAAGTAAAGAAAAAACTATGTTAGACAATACGGGTAAAATTTAAGTGGGGAATTCCCTTTCCTGAATTCCTTTGACTAGCCAACCCATGTGTGACGGGGGATACCCAGGTATTTAATGAGTGGGAAAACCCTTATGTAAATTAACAAATGCTGTATTTGGCAAATATGTGTACATGCTTGACAAACTCTAAGTGGGTATAGTATATGTACAGACACATGGACAATTTGAATTTTCATCAATATAATTTCAAAATTTGTAATAACTGAATATTTTAACATAAAAGAAAAAAAAACACCACATCACATTTATTAACTGGACTTTAAATATATCTCTAGATCTTCATTTCAACATTGAAAGACCGATATAAGCTTCTATAATTATTTTATATATTTTTTGTTATTTTGTATACATTAGGAGAAAATGATTAAAATATTTTGGTTGTAAATGAAACTTAAGTTAGAGTACTCTTAATTAATACATAAAATATCTCAATAAAGCATGTCAAGAAGAGTCAGATAGACATTATAATTTTTTTTATAATAAAAATAGTATAAAAAACAAAATCCTAACATTATTGGTATGAAACAAATCATATACAGTACTAGTACGACCCAATGATAGGTTATATTTGCTTACAAGGTCATTATAACAACCATATTATTTACGAAATGCTGACGTAAAACGAGGTTGTTGAAATCCCTGTAACATCAACTTATCTGTCAGTAGCCTGTCTCGGTTTAAAAATTGATCGTACTTGGAACATGCTCATATGCAGGTGATAGCAGGGTATTATAACATAAAAAAGGAAAGATGACGAGGGAAAAGTTTTCATACAATATAGTTGTTAGTCGGCCCTCATCGTCTATAGTCAGTAAAACATCCGAGTATGAAACAGATGTGATAGACTCTGTCTTTTATTTCAAGTTCACTGGGATATATCAAGTCGGCATATGAATGTAATTAGATATTGTTAATTGATAACTCATCATCGATATATCTAAATGTCCAGTTGAAGGCCAAAGCAAGTGTTTTCTTCACACTTAGAAGTTTTTGAATAAAATCGCCTTCATAGGAATATGAAAACAAGTCGACTAATAAAGGCATTTTGCACGACTTGTTTGCCTATCTTTTTCGAAAAATAGCACATTTTTGCAAATCTTATTTAAAAAAAAATGTTTAAAAGAAGCTAAGTCTATTTTCATATTATGGTCTTTGACCGGATGTGTTGCAATTACACGCAATTATGCGATCACTACGAGTACTGCATCTGTATACAGGACAATCACAAGAGCCTTTCATACTACTGCCACATTTTCCAAAGACATATTTAAAATGTTTTCCATTTGAATCCAAAACGATCATTCTTAGTTGCAATAATGCAACCCTCTCCGTTTTTTGGTTTTTTTTTTTTTGGAGGGGGGGGGGGGGGGGCTCCTGAAAACAGCAGAAAATGAAGACAAATCGGAGAGGGCTACATTACTGCAGCTAAATCATTCTATATAAGTTGTATACTTAAGTGCTTCAGTTCTGATGGAACAGGAAACCCATTACAAATTACTCAATTACATGTATGATAATGTGAATACGTAATAAAACATTTATTCCTACTTAAGTTATTTTTTTTATTTTTAATTTTCAATCCATTGATATGAACTATATGACCTAGAAGAATAAAATAGATTTTCCACGTTCATTTTTTTTTCGTTACTTTTACACAGAAATTTTCAACTCCGAAAATCCCAGTGGGATGTCAAGAAAATCCCAGTTCACTTTATACATTTTGAGGAGCCCCCACCCCCACCCCACAAGATCCGAACATGGTAATGGAAGACAGATATTGGATAATCATAAAAATTTGAGCAGTCCCCGAGATGTACATGTACATCAAAGTAACAGTCTACACAGTACTAGTACCAGTGAGGAAAACTTTAGTGCGCCAGTGACGACAGACTTGCGCAGCCTTGAACCATTGCAATAACGCTGGCAGGAAAAGTCCATCCATGTGTCACGGTGTGAAAAAAGGACTTTTTCGGACTTCATATAAATTACTATGTAAATCAACTTTGTGTAAATTGTTAAAAAAAACTTTTTTTTTTACATTTCGGCGAATGAGTTAAATTTTATAACTTCTGCACAGCCTTCATCCCACCTGAAGCACAATGAGAGATGGATAGTTGACTTCTTTGATGTTTATTCATTTAAATTAAACGTTTTATGTACATGCCGCTAAAGTGTCATCAGTCACTCAATAGCTGTTTGATAATTGATTTCGTTATACTTTCTTTTAAATTACGTTTTCCTCCGTTGAACACTTCTAGCAAGTAAAAATTAACTTTATAAGCATGTTTCATACACATCTTTTTATGCACCTTTAATAAAAGTATATAAAATTCACACAGAGAAATATCTGAATTTTCGAGTTGAAAATGTATAAAATATTTCTTCTTTTCAAATATACGCACTGTAATAATGAAATGATTATTTAAAAATGAAATTTGTTTAGCTAACTAAAATTCTGAACTGTTTATCGTCAAAATTTTACCATTTTCAACTAACATGGACACAGCTGGATTCCATGCATGACATTTCACCAAGGGATGAAAATGTAATGAGATTAAAAAAATAAAAGATCTATGCAGCACGATTTTTCAAGAATGTTTTAAGTGTAGTGATCAAAATGTAATGAGATCCAAATCTAATCGGAGAGATTTGATTAATTAATCTACTTAAAGTCATTGTCTGACTGATTTACTTAGTGGACTGAATGGGTGGAAGTGGGGTGGGGGGTGGGGGTGATATTCAGATATATAAAGACGGAACTACATCTGCACAACAATTTTACGTAATAAGGTATGTCACAGCAATTGATCAATAAGATAATAAAACCAGATTGAAGCCACTGGATGGACGTAAATACTCTCGATACCGAGGTGACCAACAATGCCCACGGGCCTCATTTTTATGGAGCGCTACCGGTTACGGTAACAAGTTATAAAAAATTCATTTTAACAACAACATATTTGGAAGATGAAACCATAAGAATTTTAATATTTCATTAAATATATAGTATATATATCATTAAATATATATACGCAAGTAAAGCAAAAATAAGTTCTTGTAAAAAAAAAATACTATATGTAGATACTACACAAAAATTAATGTTTTTTTCATCTTTATTGATGAATGATGAAATAATATGAACTGTTTAGTTTCTCCCCCTGCTAGTATTTGATCTCAACTTCCACGCTGAAAAGTCAATTCCAGGAAGCTGATCACATCTCCTCCAATCATTTCTAGAAATTTAAAATAAATAAATATTTTAATTCTCTTAAATATTTTATTCAAGCAACAGAACCATCAGCTGATATACAGCAGTTAAAATGTTAAAAACGCAGCCCAATGTTATCAACTTTAAGGTTCATAATTCCTCTGCTTACTCACGTAAAATGTTGCTTTAACTTTTGTTGTTTTAAAATTAAAAAAAAAAGACATTTCATCTTGACAAATCTATAACGGAACAATAGAAATTTATGTCATTAAGAGTTATCTCTCTTAGCAGAGTATCAATGAACCTTAACACCGTTTTGATATTATGGCCTGACATGATTGTTAGGACAGGATCTGATGCAAATACCCCTCCTGCCTTCATGACAGGTATTGGAATTAGTTAAAATTTTGTGTAGACATTAAATAGAGGTAGAACAAGAAGTCTGTGAGCGAATGCTCACTAGTAATACCCCCGCTCTGATGTGAATAATACGGTTACCCACTCATGTTAACAACGAATTCATACAAAAATGAATCCCACCATCTGGCATGCCTAAACAAAGATTGTGCTAAAATTTCAAACATCTTCGCTGAGTAGTTGCTAAGAAAACTGTGACGGAAATTTGGTACGGACAGACGCACGGATAAACAGGAAGTTGACATCGGATTCGAACAAAAATGAATCCGACCATATGGCATGCCTAAACAAAGATTGTGCTAAAATTTCAAGCATCTGCGCTGAGTAGTTGCTGAGAAAACTGCAACCAAAATTTGTTATGTATGGTACGGACAGACGCACGGATTAACAGGAAGTTGACATCGGATTTGAACAAAAATGTATCCCACCATATGGCATGCCTAAACAAAGATTGTGCTAAAATTTTAAGAACTGTGATGAATAGTTGGTGAGAAAACTGCGACGAAAATTTGTTACGGACAGACACACGAACACACAGACACACAAGGGTAAAACAGTATACCTCCCTCTCCTTCGGAGCGGGGGTATAATAAAGAATTAAACATTTGATAATTTGTCAATGTTTGAAATAAATATATTGATTTGAGTGCATACAACCTAAATGTAATATTAAAATATATCTTGAATTTCCAACCTAAGTGCAAGATTGTCATATACTGTTCTGATTTAAATACATGTACATGTATTTAAAAAAACCTGCATGTAAGAATATAAATTGATCATGAGTTGTCTCACTGATCGCATGGCCGAAGTTATGGATTGCATTCATATTAAAAATTTAAATCTAGAAAGAGTCGTCTCTCTTTGTATCCATTCTAGCGTAAAATGATACATGTAGATACAGAAAAAAAAATCAAACACAGCATTCAATCATTCTAGATCCACCCCAAATCTATATTCAAGTTTCCTAGCTTGTACTGAACCATTTCACTAAAATTTAACTCAATTTCTAGTTATAAGTATCTTGCAGCCAGACACAACTGGAACGTTAACTTCGTTGGCGGGAGTAAAATTGAACCGATCATGACATTTCTACGATGGTTTAAAATCAGATTTTCACTTTGTAGTCATCATAAAATTTCAATTCAGAAAGAGATAATTTTGAGGGACAATACCTTGGAGTGGGAACATGGAAGACGTCCGGTTGAATTGGATCCACACCGAAGTTATCACACAGAATTTTAGACAGCTTGACTTTACGGATTTCTCGCAATTGAGCTGAAATTCAAAATAGCAATATTAATTTCTTATTTTATCACTCAGCATTAGAAGCAATGGTTTTATTAAATACAGCGTAGTGGTATACAATTTTCATTCTTAATATTGCATTTCAATTTGTATAACAAAGTGGAATTCTGAAAAAACGACCACGTTAATTAATCAGATATTGATGGAACAAACTCGAATATCAGCTTGGTATTTTACTATAACTTCATAACCACCGTATCCATATAACAGATATAAGTGCATGCAAACACACATGCTAACACAACTCATTGGTAAATGGTAAAGGCGAGTTTTGAATCGATAGCCTAATTAGCCTTTTCCTTTGCTTGCTTTTTAAGGTTAACCATCCCTCTGCTCATCATAACTAACATAAAATTTTTCCATAATTGCGCTTATCGTTATCAAAAAGAAACCTTATTTACAATTAAAATGTACTCAACTTCAGCATACCTTGCAGGGCAAATTTTGTAAGAAATGGCTTGTTAATATGCCAAGTTTATAAAGGAATAGTAGTCATTTATACCATTTAGACTTATCTCCCTTATTAGAGAATCAATGAACCTTCATCTATACTTTTGTAACATTACGTTGAAACTAGGTTTTAAAGAAGAATCTATGTCTGAAACATACCACTATGGCTATGAAAGATGATCTCTTATATACTTCAAATTTCACATATCTTACCTCCAGTGAAACCTTCCTTTCCTTGGCTTTCGTACCAGTATCTGTCACCGTCTTTCAGATCTTTGAACTGGTTTCCAATAATACACGAGAACAGGGGCCCGACACTAGCTCCTTTGACTGGTTTCTCTACCATTCCACCAGCATAAACGTCAATATCGTCTACTTCACTGTTGGAGAGATTAGTTGAAAACAGATTTTTTTTTATTGCTAGTAAAAATTATTTTTTGAGTGAAATTATTGCATCACATCATTGGAAGAATTTTGGACGCCGACTTATCGACTTCTCCTTAAAGTAATTTTCTTTGGTCGTAAAATTCAGGAAGTTTTTACTCCCAACAACAAATAATCTTTGTCAATTCATATTGAATAACATTAGAATAAGTTTTTTAGAAGAAAAGAAAGAAAGAAAACCAATATATTCTTGTGCACATTGCCGTTCCTTTGAATTTATCAATCTTTTAAGATAGCAGTAACACAGGCAGATATACGTAAAATGGTTTGGGACCAAATTGGATGTAAAAAAAATCTTTAATTAAAATGTTACAAGGTTGTCAACTAATAAGGAAAAAATATCTTGTGCCTAGGGGAGGGGGGGGGGTACAAAAAATGCAAATACAATTTAATACATAATAAATTATTATGTATTAAATTGTATTTGCATTTTTTGTACCCCCCCCCCTCCCCTAGGCACAAGATATTTTTTCCCTATTAGTTGACAACCTTGTAACATTTCAATTAAAGATTTTTTTTTAGTAAGGTGTTAAAGAATTGTACAAAAATGCTTTATGTATAATACAAAACGTACTTTCACAATTTTTATTAGTTAGATACGATCGGATCTAGAATCGAGGACAAAAATGAATTCTAAGAATGTCTAAAAGGCGTAAAGAGTATACTTACACTGTATCAAAATAAAATTAATTGATCATTGAATGAATGTCCGATAGAATTAATTTGTAATTAATATTGTAAAGGGCTTAATTTCAGAATAAATGTGTAAATTACTTGATTATCTCGGGTTGTATGTAATCCTGAAGTTTATATTCATTATCGGGAAATTATTTAATTACCTAGGAAAATTGTCTGTGGAAATATTTGTTTACATTGTATCAAAGATTATAATCATATCTCTTATTAGGCAGATAATTGTAATCTATTACACGTACTGAAATTTGAACAGTATACCGTTACGACTATCTTGCCTTTTGTAAGACGACTGGTTCCTCAGTTGGAGCTACTATAAATACACGTTTCATTTGTTAAAATTATACTTTTCTACATTTAAATCAATTATTTATTTCAAACATTGACAAATATCAAATGGAATTTCTTATTGCACACCTACAAAAGTCTTCATACAATTTTACTTCCAATATAAGAATACCTACGCTAAACCTTTCATGAGAGTAGGGTGATGCATATTTAAAATAAAACAGATTTATTTATTTTATCGAATATTCGAATATATTCGAATACTTTCATTGAATATTCGAATATGAATTATTGACAAAATTGACATCCCTAATAATAATCGACAAACTAAGCTTTCAATTTTTTAAGGGTTGATTAATCCTTATTTTCTTCGATTTTACGAGACATTTTCCTAAAATACCTACAAGTAAGTGCATACCCTTGTAGATTCTTTTTTGGAAAAAAGAAGTTCCTTACTTAAATCCACTCATGTATGAATATTTACATATCAAATTTCTTTGTCCAATTAAGATAAAACTACAAATGATAAAAAAATTGATCTCTTCATAAGGCTATTGGTTCATCGAAAGGCGTGGTTAAAAAAAATATGCCTTCAGAAAAATACATTGCTTCTGGAATCACGTTTATACATTTACCAATTTCAGATGAATAAGTATATATGACTGTGTTCCTTCAAAATCATCTTTCTTTCTGTTACTAGTATTTGACTTACCTATACAAATCTGCAAATATTACTCTGTTCTCTTCGCTAATGTCTGGTAAATCACTGAAAGAGGTACCAACAGGAAGTCCACACCACCTCCGCCAGGAGTTATACGGCGGAAGTCCATGATCGCGACCTCTCTGAAGGTTTAATGCACCAAGGTCAAAACTGTTACCATTTGCGTCCTCGAACAAACGATCCCGAACCGCTGGTTCAAACTGACTGATAAATTAACAATAATAGTTCAATTAAAGTATGTAAGATAAAAAGTATTTTAAACATAAACTATTGATATATTATGTCTTTCTGGAAAGTATCAAACACATAACATGTTATTATTCGGAAACCTACCCGTCCGCTTTCATTCCATTGGAAGTAACGATAAATCGCGTTAGATCGTCCACCCTTTTACCGTTCTGTGTGACTAACATTTGCGGATCAAGAAATGTAGATTCCATGGGGGTAGCTTGAACACGAGTCATGTAGTCACGGAGAACATATGCCAGTGTTGGTGGAATCTACAAGGAATTAAAAATCGTCAAATTTTGGTACAATTAGTTGTAGAAGTCGAATATTTAATTAATTAAAATTGCAGTGGAGAAAGAGAAAGAGAGGGCAACAGGCAGAATTAAGAAAACAACAGAACAGAGAAAACGACAAACCTGTAGAGGATAAAGTTAGATATTAAGTTTACTAATCACATTTATTCGAGTGCGCGAAATAATACTGCTCGCGATTATATCTTTCACTCAGTAAAGCTATAAATCTCCTTTGAATTTTTTTTTAACCGCGAATGAGTTTTCAATAGACCATTTGTCGATTATAATCTTGTGTTCATTTTGCAATTAATTATAAATAACGTACATATTGTATTTTAAAATACAAAGCGACTTTTTGCTATTATTTTTAAAGCTTCTGGCGATTATCAATAATATTTCCGAAATCAAAACGAGATTCACTCACCTGCGAATGTCCAAATCTAAATGCGGCTGCATTGAAAACGTTTTTGGCGGCCGGGTTTAGACTGTCATTATAGCTATTGCTAAAACCCCTCCTTTTTAACTTAAGGTTAAATTTAACGAGATCACTTTCTGCAAGAGTGGCAGGTATATATTCTCCGTAGGTAATTTGTTGTAGAAGAGCTCCTATAATTTTCCTGGCTTCTTGATATACTTTTGATGGTCCCCAGTCAGGCCTTACTTTACGAAGTTCCTCTGCTATTCTATTGTGTTCACGTACGAACACCAAATGAGCCCCTCCCAGTGACGGAACAACATTTACACGATGATCACCTACATTGAAAACGTTCAATTTTAACAGAAATGTTTCAAATATGTTCAGATTAAACAGTATATATGATCAGAATGCTCAGAACTTTGCAGGTATACATTTCATTAAAAATAAGCAAGAACTGGGTACTTAAAGACCGTGATGATTCCAAAAATATCAGCCATCCATATACCGGTACATGTAACACTTAACTTTCCATTATAATAAAATAAGCTTATCTGTACATTTACATATGAATTGATTGGATTCACTTTGAATATATGCAAAATTGTGATCTCTGGTATGATATTTAACCTTACTAACCAGCAAGTTGACACTGAGTTAATGTGTTACTTGGCCTACAAGTTCCTCCTATCGGTAACATGTTCCCCTCTGACGTCATCATACTTCCTGTAAATCAAAGGCAACAAGTGAGTGACTGAATAACATTTTTAAATCTACATGTATTATTTTCTACTATGAAAGCACATATATTGATTCTTTTGAGTATCCTCGGGATTTTTGCTGAAAATAAATCGTTTTAATTGAAGTTTCATTTGACCAGCATTCAAAGCCACTAAGCAATGTAATCATTAACATACAAAAATTATAACGACTGTTACTTATATAAAACTCGAGCTCGTTAAAAGCTCTATTTGACCCGTTTATTAACGGGCACAAAAATTAATAGTATATGCTTCCATTCTACATTCAACTGCATAAAAAACTATCTGTTTTTCCATGGTTTTAAGGAATATCTATTTGGTGATGTATATTCAAAAATAATGACTTTGTCATGATACAATATTTATATTTCAGCACTCAGTAATTTTTTTAAATTCAGTATATGTTTTTGACACAAGCAATGCTATTCTCAAAATGATTATTACGAATAGCAATGGAATACAAAATTGTCAATCGGTTAACGCATTCTTTGTTATAGTCAATCTAATATCTTATACGTCATAATACTTCGCCATGTTGCTTTTTGACGTCATAATACTTCGCCATGTTGCAGTGATGATATTGTGACATCATAATCATGCTTAGCGTCACAATTATTTAACAATTTGAGAGGAGACAAACATCGTTCACAAAAAATGAGGATCGATCATATGTTTTTGGGGATGTCTCTAGCTGTTCCGTTCACTTCATGTGCACCTGTGACACTGTCTAATTACGAAGCTACCAACGTCCAACTAAAATCCATATATGATTTTAGATTAGAAGATTTCGGTTTTGAAAAAATACAGGACGTTGGTAATAACGGACTTGAGGAAAGGGTGGCTCTACTCCAACCGCACAACAATAGCTATAGCGATGTCGACGTCATGAAATCTCCCAACATTTCTTTATGGAAGGTGTTTTTAATCATAGGAACAGTACTTTTCTTCCTCGTTATCGGTGGAGTGAAAATTCTAAAAGCCAGAAAATCCCGCAGAGTGACCAGAGACAGGGAAATTCTTGCTATGGAATATTTAAATGAATGTAAACAGGCGAGCTACTTCAGTGTTTCAAGAATCAAGCAAAGGAAGGCAGTCACATTTGTATTGGAATCAGAATGCCAAATTGAGGATATAGAAGAGTGTCCCGGACTGTACGGAATGGCCTTAGAAAGACAAGACCCTGGGGAGGAGGAAATTATATTCAACAACCCATTGTTTGTCGAGGAGTAGAATGATACACAAGATATATGCGGAATTTCCCAACATTTCAAACAGGAAAAACATAGGTGATTTCAGATTGCAAAGCCCACCTCGACGAATGTTTTATCTATAAGAAAGACAAATTTTATGGATAGTGTACATTCCCAATTCAATATCCATGCAAGTTTGGTTTCTGTAGGTGGAATATACCTGCTCCAATTAAAACCTAACTCACTCGAAAAATGTAAATCAGATCCAGCATACGAAGCAAGTCTGGCAGTGTTCATCTCTACATGGCCATCCATGCATGTTCATTCTTGACAAGCTCAATAGTTAATTGGGAACAGGGCTACTCATGTGTGGCAATATGATATATTCATATGAAAAGTTGATTAAATTTTTTGTGAAACTGAGTAACAATAAATGTTTACATTTGCAATTGTTTTCTCTTCATATAAAACACACGTTAATTTCTCACATCATAAAACTTTCGACGTAATTTCTCAGTCACGTCAAAAAGGGTCAAAGCGCGTTCAATGGTTCTCTTAGGCTATGCCTCTGAGTTATGAAAAATAAAACATTTCGTGCGTTAAAGATTATAATCACGCGAGAATATATAAATTAGTCACACATTGTAAATACATAATTATAACTATCATTTTAAAACATCTATCAAATCGTCTCGATCACGTGACAAACCTTTATTTATATCCCAAAGAAGTTTTTAAAATACTCAATGTATATTAAAAGGATAGAACAGAATTCACGTAACTGATATCATATAGGAAGCCAGCCATTTTGCACCTTAAACATTTTTGAAGAGTTAACTGCTCTTGATGAAAAGAAGAAAATTTTTAATTTTTTCAAAATATCTGTGGTAAATGATTCATTTATTTTCCTATTTTAGTTAAGAGATAGCTTATGCATATTTTCATCAAGAGATTTGTATGAAGTTCAAATTACTTTCACAATATCTTAATACATGTAACACGTGTGCTTCTCATATACATGTACTTAAAAGTAAAATTCAAGGTGCAATCAATTGGACAATAATCAAAATCGTGTAAATTCCTTTGGTGGAGTATATTTTTATTTAATAACACCTTCAAAATGCTACCATGATTAAAAATATTGGACCATCCATTTATTTGGTAAAAAATATGATCGTTATACATTGAATACTTGAAAATGTTACTTATCTCTTACATACCGGTAATTATCAGATTTTTTTTATTACTAGTTATAAATGGTTGATGTAATAAAAATCAATATTAGAACATTACAGATCCAAATTAATTATTAATCATCATAAATGTTGCATGCACGCATACTACAACCTATTCTGTAAATAAACAATTTCTCATATACTACATAATTGTGTTGTAAAATTTTGGAGGTTGAGTCAGAATTACGAAGTGATATTATAATGGATTGTATGTCTACTTCTACATTATTATTTATAGCTTACCTGTACTTGTATCTGCGAGATCAAGCCAAGCCTTTCTTGAATCGCCATATACAACCCCTCCATCAATAAAAGACGTTATCTGGTTAATATTTTCCCTCGCACCTGTTTTAGTAAAAAACGTATAAAATTATAATTATTCTTTGAATTATAATTAGCGATGCATTGAAATATGAACGTGAAAATCATGTTTATGTTTTAAGAAATATTTCTTAAAAATTGAAACCTGGCTGGCAGCCATCAAATGGAGGTGCGGGTGCGGATCTAACAAAATTCATACAGCCCGTAGTAAAATGAGGATCATCCGCCGGAATTGAGATGGGAAAACAATCTTCTCTATGGAACGAAACAAACATAACACACATTAAATATATCATTATGTCCATCTATATTGGACATTTTTCAGATAATAATCTCACAGCATGAACTGATTTAAGATTTTTTTTGTGTGTTAATTCTCTCGATAATTGTCAAAAAGCCCATGGACCACAATGTGCTCACTCGAATCTCCCTGGTCCTGGAGTTTTAGAGAAGATTTTAAAAAGTTTCCCCCTCTTTTGTCTATAAATTTAGATTATTTCTTTTTCAACATTTTTGCTTAATTTATACTGGAAAACATGTTTATAATTTCATTCATTACCGATGTATTTTCCACATTTAAATGCTTTTTTTCCCTTGTCTAATCCACCTTACGTCAAATAGCATTGTGTTTCTGGCTGTGACAGAATCAGTTATGAAATCAAACTATTCTGCCACGACCTTACAATGTAAATCATGTACCTAACTTAGAAAATGTCCAACAAGATCAACAGGTGCCTGGTTGTTGTCCTGTCGGAGGATAAAGTAACATTTTACTTGCAGGTCCTTATTATGATAGAAAAATACTAACATTTGTAAAATCTAACGAAACTTTTCAGATGACATCAACACCGAAAAATTGCACCTGCCATATGTTCTGACAAAGTCAATCTGGTTCCGCCTCCACACCTATGGGGGGGGGGGGGTTGACTACAATGACTGTGGAAACGGTCTAACAAATGTCTCAGCGTCTCGTCACTATAGTGTTCTATAGGACTATAGGGGAGTTAATGAAATTTTAACTGTCAAGTGTATACATACCTTTTTTCTACTTCATCTCCACAACATGTGATTGGAGCTCCATCAATTCCTGTCATAAAGGAGATTATTTATTTATAGCAAATCATGTAACTAAACCAAAGATTCGTTTTTTTTTTAAATTTATATTACATTTATATGCAATCTAAGGCAAAGAAAGAGGCAATGAGAATACATTGTTACTTATATATATAACCCAAAATGACTAATTATATACATCAGTGTATAATTTCTTTTACCTTGTGTTACAGGTGTAGATACTATATCGTGGTCAATAAACTGACCCCACACCATCACCATAAGGGTCTGGGTGTAGTCAGTCTCGGTGCAATTCCCAGCCACTCGAAATAGCTTATTACTGACCAATCGAGTGCTGGGAAGAGGGCTTCCATCTTTACTAGTTCTTCGTGGAGAAGTGATTCCTTAAAATAGAAATATATTTAAGGTTCATTGTCTCTCTGAAAAGAAAGATAACTCTCATTGGGGTAAATAACTTTAACCCTTGATAAAATTGCCCAGTTAAAATGTCGTTTCTGTGAATGTTTGCCCCACGAGGTTATGTTGAAATTGTGTGCATTTTAATTGTAAATTAGATTCCTTGGAAAACATTAAGTGATAAAGTACAGTTTTTATACAAGTGAACAGAGTCTGAGAGACTTTGAAACTAATCACGTACATGTATCATTTGATTCTGGATACAGTATAAACCTTTTAAAATTGCAAATGATTTTTGTCTTTTAAAAAGATGCAGATTTACTCTAAATGATAAAAAATAATAATTTCAAAATGTACATACCATCGTCATACTCTGCAGGTAGGTAGCGCGGCTGTGGTGTAATGGCAGCGCCCCACTCTGGGTGATCAATATTATTGCATCCCCCGTCTACCGATCTGTAAGCGCTCTGTTTCGCTTTGTTACAGTTCTGTTGTTTTACATCCGGGCAAAATTCTGACTCGAATTCTTGTCGGAGCTCAGGGTGAGACGCCAATTCTTCTGTGGTCATACCAGTTCTGAAAGAGATAGTCAAATATGCATTCCAGAGTATAATTTACTTTATCCACAGTGTCTACATCCCTCCCCATTCAAAAAAGAAAAAAAAACTCATTTCTGCATACTTTTTTGTATTAATATGTCCATATCTACACAGATTTCTACTGATACGTTACAATAAGTGATTTCCAAAGACACATTCATTCAACAAATTATAAGTTTCGTATTTAAAGTTACATTGCAATAATTGAGTATGCGTCGATCCAGTCAATAACTACTAAGGACTAAAAGTAAGTACTGAGTATTTTCCAGCTACATTAATAAAATCGTTTTATTATCAAATATCAACATCAATTCAAAGGCAACAACTGCTATTAAGGAGGCTTAAACACTGGTGAAAACATTGAACAAATTGTATAGTAATCTTATACTGTGTACTACAATGGTGAGTGCAAAAAAAAAAAAAGAGCAACGCGAGCGTTAGCGCTTTACGAAAATGTTAGCACATACCTTTGCGGTTATGAAATTGCATCTTTCAAACAATAATAAACTAAATAATGCTTATGTTTACATTTTACCCACTGCATTGTCCGTAGTTTTGATTTATATCTCAAAATTCTTGCCTTTTCTTTCAGGTATGTAACAATTATAGGAAGAGTTAATGAAAAAAAGGAGTCACGATAAAGTATACAGTTATATTATCTTGTTCAAATATAATAATAACTGCTAAGAATACTTTTAACTAATAAGCATAATGCTTTGTTATTCATTGTAGCTTTCATTGTATCCATCTTGCATCAAAGGGGAGATCACTCTAAGTGTAAAAAAAAATACCATGGAATTGGAACTCTTCAATGTGCAGTACAACTGCAGTGTTTGGAGCCTCCTTAATGATAAAAAAAAATTGTCTATAATAAAGATTTCTTCGACTTACTGCTCCACCAAGGTACGGGTAACTTCAATGGAAATAATCCCATTCAGGGATAACTTTTCGGCTTCTCTTTTTCTTTTGCTGATCATGTCCAGTTCATCCTTTGAAGAATCTCCTGCCTTGTCGACGCCTAGAGCGGACAAATAAGTCGTCTGATAATATCATTTCAGCAATAATTGTCATAGAACATCAGAATCTTCAATTGCTAATTTATTTTATATTATGATATTCAAGTATTTCACCTCTCTTGATCAATTCAAATTATTAAAGAATCAACCCTCTCTCCCATTAAAATAAATTTGGAAAACTGTTCTGCTATTAAATGTTATCATTTATTTCATTTTTAACCTTTTGGATGTATAAAAGGCAGATGAAAAGGGTAAAAACAATATGTATACTCCTTCCGGTCTTCTTGGTTAATACCGGTAATATATACAGGCCCGTAGGAAGGAATTTTAGTCTGAGGGGGCACAAGCTTAAATTAGCTTTATTTTCTAATGTGTAGTATGCACTGACCAATTTTTGAAGGGGACACAACTGTATTTAAGTTGTTTTCTATAATTGAAGTATATACTGGCAAAATCATTTGGGGTGCCCCCGGTTCCAGGGGCGAATCCAGGATTCCCCCCTCCCGGGGGAGGGGGCACAGAACTGTAACAAATGTTAGACCCGGAAATTTTTTTGGCAAGGAAAAAAATAAACAATTTACCCAACTTGTCGAAAACTGAAATTCTGGGGGGGGGGGGCTCTCCTTACCGTTTTAACAGGGGTTCGTGTTTCATAGGGGAGTCCAAGGTCATATTTTTGTTACTTTTACAAAGAAATTTAGTAGCTCTAAAAATTCCAAGAGGGTTCCGGACCACCACCCCCACCCCACCCCCACCCCCGAACCCCTCTAGATCTGCTCATGGGTTCCTGCAGGTCTGATGTGGAATTTTGTTGAAAATGATGAGTTCAAGTCAATCTCTTGGGAGAAGTAGATGAGGTGTAAACGCAGTCACTTACAAAAATCTTTACGTATATATAGTTCATGCCGCTAGCTATGGCTATAGTAATCATCAGCATTTGATACCATCAACACGGAATTCTTTCATTTCGTTTGTACATGTATAATATGTATAATATTAAACCCAATACCCAGGTGTTTAGATAGGTTAAAGGCACGAATGAGTTAAGTGTTTTAGAAAATGGTTGTTCTTTAAATCTAAAATAATGTCAGATGTTGTAAACTGAAAGTAAAGAGGAGTGGCACAAACGTTTTAAACTTCAAAAAGGATAGTTCATGAGAGAGGACCTTTGTCTTTAAATTTACGCAGCTCTTTCCTGTACTCTTTTAAGGTCTTCTCTCCAGCTTTGATGGCTTTTTTCACATAATCTCGAACCTCATCGCTTGTGAGAGCATTATTTGTATCCGGTAGCGTGGACAGGAAAACTGCCAGAAGGCATAAAATAGACGAAATATGTCCGAAATCTGAAAAGTAGAAAAACACAACGATTTCAATGGTATCGTTGACAAAATATGAAATATCTATAGTTATAAAGTTTCAGTATTACAACTACTACAACGTATATAACCAATCCTCCAGTCTTGTACTTATTTGATCTTGACAGACATCATGAAAACGAATCAATCGGCATTACAATGTGTGTTTGAATATAAAATATAAAGGCCTCCTTCCCGAGATTGAAAAAAAAATACTTTGAAAACGTTTCACAAGCTTTAAGGAAATTGTAAAGTTTTCATAGGCTTCAACATGACGAAAACCATTTTGTATTTTTATTTGTGATACTTAAAAAAAACAAAAACAAAAAACAACCCCCCACCCCCATCCCCAACAAAATCATAGGTGATATTTAGTATTTGCATTGCATACGACTATTTGATGAAATTAAAAAATATAATTATAGCAATCCTGAAACAAAACAAAATTTTTAATCTCGATCGACATCAGCTGAATTGCATTCACGATTAAGCGGATGTAAAAAAATTGTAAGCTTCCACATGACGAAAACCATTTTTTTTTTTGGTGATACTTTTTTTTTTAAACAAAATTTATCTTTAAAAAAGTTATATAACTACCCTGTGAAAACGAGAATCGCAAACACGAAAACCCGCATTACAATATGTATTGAATTGGACATATTTTATTGTAATAAATACATGTATATACAATGGGATTGGGCACAAGTTCTTAAAACTTATTTAATATACTCGTAGAATATGTGTTTTGTAAAAAGATTTGTTATCTCTAAAATACAAACTACTTTGTTTAATACAGACAGACAGTCGCGCATGTAATAGATTCTTCTAAGTCTTGTTACGAGTTGTTTTTCATGTTTTTTTTTCTGTCAAAAGAACAAACAATAGTCATTGGTGAAAGATTTTCATCCGATTAAATGCGTCAGTTGTTGATTTTAATTCAAAATCAAATTTCCTTTGGGACAAAGATAACTTTTAAACGTACTTGTCACAGCTAAATCTCACCTAGACATAAATTAATGTAACATTAAAAGGTGGAAAATCCATGTTTTGTTATCCGTTTGGACATTTTTACATCAAAGTCACTGAAGTAAGTGATATAGATAGGATTATCTTTTTCTTAAATCAGTTTTTAATCTATGTGACGTATGTGGGGTCTTTTCACTATAACGGTTCAGTGGTCAATCATACAACTCATCGGATTTGTTTCACCTATGGTTCACTTGACCGGGCTGTTATTGAAATTTCCTTTCCACAACCAATTTAGATTACTTGATATGAATTGTCTACCTTCTTCATTCCATGATTTGATTTGATTTGAACATATTTTATTGTATAGTACCTCTCCTTGTTATACAAACAATGAATACAATATGATTGTCATAATAAATAAATTGAGATAATTTACAAAAATTTATGTTATACATGTAATACATGTATATATATATCTGAAAATTATAATTATATCATATTCATTCCATGTATCTTGGCACATGATGTATTTATTTTAAACAATCAGTATATACCCCCCCCCCCCCCCCCGCTGCGTCCAAAGCATTTTTTTTAAAAATAATTATACTGACATATTTAATTTATATGAAATTAAGCATATGATTATATGAAACAAAATTTTATTTCGTGAAGTTTGTTTGCGTAACTGTTTAAAAGCAACGTTGTTTAAAACCACTAGCTACAAACCAACTTTTTTTTCTTCAAAAATCATGAAAATAGATATCTAAAATATGTTTATGTAAGTAAAATAAGCAAGTTTAACCACATCGTTTTTAAATTTTATTCAGGACTTCTTGTCATGGTCATATAGAGTAATAAAAATTTATATAGATTTATAAGAGGAATGACAAAGAGGGAGCATTTTGAACATCAAAGAAAAATTACAATTTCTTAACATTTTAGGAAATTGATATTAATTGCATCATTTACAAGCAGAATAAATCGGAAATTCCATGCATCCATTTTTTGTTTGTAGCAAGTGTCCTGACAACCATCATTGATTAGGATTTCTTTTTTAATAGCTATATATTTTAGAGTTTTTGTGCATTTCACATAAAATTAATCAAGCTATTATACGGCTAAATGGCTTATTCAAGCTGAATCTGTTCTTTGCTTTTCAATATACATCACTTGCACATTCATGCATACGCAAGGCAAGGAATGGTCCAAAAATGTATATTAATTATAGTTTTTTGGATCTTAATTATGTCGTTGAATGGAGGATTGGCGATCGAGTTATCAGTAAACTGGCACTGCGAGCCGGAGACCAGTGATCGAAGTGGACTAATGACGCCGTATTACCACAAACATAGTTACATGTATTTCTCTGGCATTATATTAAAAAAAAGGTGGTACTTGTACATGTACATCCAAAGATCTAACGATAGACTTTTCGATTAAAAAGAATTACTAACAATATGTAGTAAATGCTGCCCTCCGAATAGACTTACATATAGATGAAAGACAAGCGTGTGGGACTAGGGTAAGATGGACATAGAAATTTGGAATACATGAGCGTTTATGGAATCTTGAATACTGGGCATAGAGTGGCACCAATTAGCAAAAGTGAGAAGATGCCAGATGTTATTAAAGCTGTCAATTTTTGTTTAGATTTGATGATATAAACATCAACAGATCAATCAGAGATAATAATTAAAGATAATTTCATGTTGTTATATTTACATCCACTGAATATAAATCTCCTGTTATTTCTTAAGAAAACCATTGTCGTTTATCAGTCAGTAAACACCGCTAAGCATATCACCTCTACAGATTTATTGAGCAGTGGCTCTTCCATCAATGAAACGTACAATGATGTACATACATGTATCAATAACACAATATTATATCTACTTAATCCTACTTTAAATGATTATTTGTACAGATATAAATATAAACAATAAAATGTCTTTCTTTCTTTGTTAGTATGGGACTTAACCTTGCAGCTGTTGCAGAAAAAATTAAATAAACCGCTTACGCGGGTTATGCATTTTTCTGCAACAGCTGCAACATTAATTCCCGTACTAACAACAAAAGAAAGCATTTTATTGTTTAAATATATAACATTTTATTACGACTCGAGAGCGTTGACACTCTGTCCCTTTGAAGTTAACTGAATAAGAAGCATCAATAAACAATTGAAATATTTGCTTATCCTTTAACAATGAATAATTGAAGTTTTGAAATATCATCCAGCAACCCCCCCCCCCCCCCAAAAAAAAAAATCATAGGTGATATTTTGTATTTGCATTGCATACGAGTATTTGATGGAATTTAAAAATGTAGTTAGCCTGAAACAAAAACAGAATTTTTCATCTCGATCGATATAAGCTGAATTGCATTTATGATTAAGCGGATATAAAAATGTTCTTTGCATTAATGGAGATGTACTTTTATCTACTGATTTCATTTCACACATTGTTTTCATTTTTTGTGCAAGGAGATGGGTGAACATAGCGTGCAGAAAGCCTATAGCTTCAGATATATAAAAATCATGTTTAATTTGTGAATTAAGTATTTAGAGATTAGTTCTCATTATTGAAATTTATGAAACTATGATAAACAAAGCTTTTCTGAGGAAAATTTTCTTGGGTAATTTATTCTTTTATTAAAATATAATATGGTATTCGTGGGGTTCGAACCCTAGCAATAAAAATCCTGAGTTTCATTTTCTTTCGAGACTAGCACATTAACCACAAGATTACACAGGTCCTGATGAATAGTGGCATTTAAATCCGGTTTGTGGTATGAACTTAATGGACTTCAAGTATTTCTCGGAAAGATGCGATTGTTATGTCATAAAAGTATATTTTTAAGGTAAAGTGGGTCCTTGCTCCATATTTTATAACCAAAAATGTATATTTTTATGCGAACTTTGAGGATTAACTTTCAAAAAAATGGAGCGAAGACCCACTCATATCGAAAAATAGTGTTATAGTATGAGAAAATGACTCTTTTTGCCCTCTTTAGTGTGTGCATAATATTTCATAGGCAAATAATTTCAATCTTTGAGAGATTTTTGCAAATTGTAGATATTTGACATAAAGTATATTTTAATGTTAGATGAAATTTCAAGGAAACTTTTGATATATTTGAGATTCATTTTTTCGCCTTCATGTTTGTCACACTATAGGCTTTTCGCTCGTCATGTTCACCCATCTTCTTTGAGCGCATTCCTATTTCTCTGCAATTTTGAGCTTTTTGCCATGTTGTCAGTTAAGACATACATGTACTCTCGCAGTAATTACATTTTTAATTATAGTGACGTGTATAATTACATGCATTACTTTTACTTTCATTTTACAAATAAGCATCGCACATGTATGTGATTTGAAAATATTATATAATGAAGTATAAATGGATTGCCTATATAAGACCTCTCCACAAGGTTCATTTAAATTATACATAATACTACATATTGTTAACAGGTTCATATCATCAACAAGTTGTAGTTAAGTGACACAAAATTGATTGGAAATTAAGCAGGAAAAAAGAAGAAAAAAAAAGTTGTGAATGATACCGGCTTTATGAGAAAAATGAGGGGAAAAGTAATAAGTGAGAAATAGAGAAAATTAAGAAAAATTATATAAAATTACATTAGTTCACATCATCTATGAAACCTCTTAGTTTGTAAAATATATTTATGAACACAATTTAACATTTTTTGCATAAGGCATATTAATATCACCAAATAACAAAAGATTTAGAGACACAGGATGTTGCAGGTCTATACTAGATACACGTATATGCAATTAAAAAGAATATTTCTTTGCTCGATATAACATTGACACTCAAAGAAAAAATGATATGCATTTTCAATATGAAAACCACAGTTTTCACATTGGGAACTTTCACGTATAAAAAAGAATAAAAAGAAAGTCCATTCCCAAACTTCCACGTTTTTTTCGGGGGGGGGGGGGGGGGGGTAAATCGCTTGCCTTTATAAATATACAGAAGATGTAAATGTATATGACTTTCTTTGCCATTGTAACAGGGGTCCGTGTTTTCTAGCTAGAGGGATTCCATGGGTTTACTATATCAATAACTCTAAAAATCTCGAGGGGACCGCATCGAATGCCCCCTTTCCTTTTCCGCGCATGTTTATGATGGAATAGGAAATAGCAACTACATGTTAATTAGGAAATTTTTATAAGCATGTCTGCTGTTTTCTTGGTAATGTGCCGTAGAACCATACCAAGTGTACATTCAAGTATAATAAAATCCTTATTTTTGCCTATAATTTATCAGAAATATTATGATGTACTTAAATATGATAAATAAACATTTGCTGAAAATTTCAGCTCAGTACGTGCGTTATTTTTCTAGAAGAACGCGATGTTCACGATTTTACCGGACAACCCTCGTAGTTGTGTAGATACTTAAAAATAATTTTTTCTAATAATTTGCAAACAACAGATGTTACTGATATTGGTCAATAGTTATTGCCATCATCTGCATTTCTTTTATTTTTATAAACTGGTGTAACTTGAGCAATTTCTAAATGTTAGGAAGTATTCTATTGCTAAGTGATATATTAATATTAATAATTTCGTCAGAGGCTTATGGATTATTTGTGCAGTATGTTTTAAAATTGTAGGTGAAACACCATCAGGACCTGATGGCTTACATATATTAATGATTTGTAACTGATCTAATACTTCGTTATCTGTAAATCTAAATGTTTCTATATGGTGTATAAGGGGTGGGGTGGGGTCTGGACCCTGGGGTGGTAAATCAGGTTGATTATAAATGCAGGGAATGTTTGTAAAGAATTTGTTTAAGGCATAAGGTTTGTCTATAGGATCGAGGAAATAATGTTTGACCATACACCTTAAGAGGAGGTGTTGGTTTGTGTTAATTTGGATAATGATTTCACAATTCTCCATCATTTACCAAGTGGTACTAGTATTGTTTTATTTATTTGTGCTGTTAATTTTTTATCATAATTCTGCCTAGAAATTCTAATTTTATCTATGACTTGATTGCTTAGGTATCTATACTTTTCCCGGTGAAGTGGAGTTTTTGTTTTTACATCTTTGTGATGGATTCTTTTAATTTCCCCCCTCATCAAAATTCTAACTGTGGTATTCATAAATATTTTGTCCCTTGGTCTTATTGTAACTACTTTTTAGGGGTGTGTTTATTTTTATGCCTTTAGTTAATAATTCTGTAAATTTTTAATATATTTCATCTACGTCATTAATATTAAAGACTTCTAAGTCCCATGCAATAATATTTCGTACATCAAACCGTATATACAACACCAACCCATCAGACTTATGTCACCTTAAGCTATATATATATATATATATATATATATATATATATATATATATATATATATATATATATATATATATATATATATATATATATATATATATATATATATAAACATACGTGTGATTTTTCTCAGTAGTCTTATATTAAAAGCATTATATGTGAAACTAGGTGTTTGACGTAATAAGTTTACTTATCAAATATTTGAATTGAGCAAATTAATTAATACTGTTATTTAAATTTGAACATTTTTTTCTCTCAAAATTATATATACAGGTCTTACAGTTAAGAACTCCCGATCACCTACCTGAGCTACACGTACATGTACATTTGTATGCAAGAGGCTGTAAACTTTTAATTTATTCAGAACAATTTTACAACGTTATGCAGTAATAATTTTGCTACAAACTTCCAACCCATGTTCTTTCTTCTTTTTATAGCTTAAATACATGTAACTCTTGTATGGCTCATTAAAATGGTTGGATTAAATATTAAAAGGCATAATTTGAAGAAATGAGGATAAAAGTATATGGGGGAAAGTGTAAAGATACGAGATTCATTGACTAACGACTATATGGTTGTACAACAAAATAAACAAGCATTCTGAGAGTATTGCATTAGCAATACTAGTCCCCTACCGGCAAGTGTAATCTGGTTCCGTTCCCGTTAAAAATTGAAAATGCCATAATTCCGTCAAAAATTAATGAAGCGGGACGAAATGCAAACTTGATCTATAACTAATCAAGGTAAAGCCACATACCAAAAATCAGCTCAATATCTACAAGCGTTTAGAAGAAAATTGCGGAAAACCCGTAAAAATTGAAAAGGCCGTAATTCCGTCAAAAATCAATGAAGCGGAACGAAATGCAAACTTGATCTGTAACTCATCAAGATACACTTACATACCAAAAATCAGCTCAATATCTGCAAGCGTTTAGGAAAAAAGTGCGGAAAACCAAGTGGGACAGACTGACAGACAGACAGAGGGACAGACAGACAGACAGACGGACAGACAGACAGACAGACGGACGGACAGACGGACGGACAGACTCAGAGGAAACCTATAGTCCCCTCCGGTTTCACCGGTAGGGGACTAATAAACCCCACCACCACCCCATTACTACGTGCCTGCTTCACGAATAAAACTTTTCTGGAAAATGAGCTCTTTTCCAACAAAGGGTGAAAAATAATTTGCAAAAATTCGAATAGGATACAATATATTCAAAGAAACAACGTTACTTCAAATTTTCTAAATTCTATACAATGATACATATCTGCATGCATTGCAATATTTTATTAGAGTACAAAATTAACAGTTCTAAAACTATATCAAAATAGATAAAATAAAAGCTTTGATTAAAGCTATACTCTTTCATACTCACCCATGCCTCGTGCTATTTGCTTCGCTACTTCTTTCCTCTCTGAATATGCTCCCGAGAATCTTGGGTTTAAATAGCCGAGAACTAGTCAGGCTCGGACAAGCGTGTTCCACGCAATCGTGACCGATAATTCCAAACAAAACCGTTATGTATGTTTTGCTTTACGAGATATTTAATTTATAATTTAACTATAGTCAATAAGAAAGATTCTTATCTATAATACTTTAATAGTATTGCCTTAGAGAAATAACGCCGACTGTCAATTTACGTTAGTAAGCTAGTATATTTGTAATTCTCTCTCTCTCTCTCTGTATACTAAAAAAACTTTTAAAAAATACAAAAAATTTAAATTATACATTAATTTTATTAAATATATTTCCTGCGGGTTTCGACGATGAAAAATATTTATTTGATTTAGGATTGCATTTTATGCGCGTGTATGTGTATAAGTGGGGGTGGGGTGGAGGGTACATGTATTGTAGTTAAACAGTATACTGTGCAGTATTTAAAACCATGGAATATATATATTTTTATTTAATATTAATCTTACTGAATTAAAAGTGCTGAAAGTACATATAGAAATCAATTGTTATTATCTAAATCTTGAAATTCAAATTTTGTGCTACATGTCCCGAGGTGTTTTCTTAATCTCTTACGTGAATATGATGCAAGGGTTGATAAAATGTTAAGTCACAAATGCCATAAAATCTTAAATAATAAGTCATTTGAAAATTTTTATACACCGATGCCTATATCGATTTTAAGTTTTGTCTTATAAATTGATTTTTAATACATGTATGTAACTATACAAGAAAGTAAGTGACTATAATAGTTGCATATCATTGAATATCATATACTCGTATATATATATATATAAATATATATATATATATATATATATATATATATATATATATATATATATATATATATATATATATATATATATATATATATATATATATATATATATATATATATATATATATATATATATATATATATATATATATATAACATTTTCAGCAGTGAAATACTGTGATTTATTTATTGAATAAAAGTGATATTCTCTCACAGTGTGAAAGGATACCAAAATGATATTCTCTCACAGTGTGAAAGGATATCAATGTAAATAAAAAATAATTTCTGACCTGCAATAAGATAGAGATAGTAACTAAACCATCTTGATAGAGCTAAAACTGCCAATTTCTTCCCAAATATGTTGCTAAAATACATGTTACAATGTTTTCAATGCTATGACGTCTCAACTGCTCAACTACGACGTCACAGCCTATGACACTGTGTTAAGAAAAGACAGAGGCAAAGGGAAAATCGAGGAAAATGTAATAAACAGAAAATTCAATGTTTTGTAGTTGGATATGGAATTTATTTCACTCGTGAGACAGGATTTTTTAAAATATATTTTCACTTGTGCTTCGCACTCGTGAAAATATAAAAAAAAATCCTGTCCCACTCGTGAAATAAATTCCATATCCAACTACAAAACATTGAATATCCTCTATATATACTACAAGAAATTTACAAAAATACTATTTTTATGTTTCAAATAAGTATTATACATATATTTCAATCAAATTCTAAGGTAGCCCGATCCTTAGGTTCTGAAAATCAGGCATTGAAAAATTAAGAATGCTCATAAAAATGTTTCTGAATTCTCAAAGTAATATGTATTTACCCACGGTAATTCTTCAAATTCATTTTTAAAGTTAATCATATTATATCGAGAGAATAAGTAAATCTCCAATAAATTTCCAGGAAATGCGAATAAAAATTCTTACTATGCATTTTCTAACTGAAAATTGATCATCAAATACATTTTAGGATGAACAAGATGTATTTGTGAAACATCGATGCCCCTGTATGGCAGCTTATGGCGAAGGTTAAAGTTTCTCAAATTCAAGTCAAAATCTAGGCCAAAAGATAAAAAAAGTTGGTACCCAAAGAAAGGTCTTTTTTTTTAGGAATATACCTGTGAAATTTGAAAGCCCTAGCTGCAACTGTTTATAAGTTATGGCAAAGGTTAAAGTTTTTTAAAAGTAAGTAAAACGTCAAGGTCAAAGTTGTTGGTATCCAAAGAAAGGTCTTGTCAGAAGGATTACATATGTGAAGTATGAAAGCCCTAGCACCAACCATTCAAAAGTTATGGCCAAGGTTAAAGTTTTTCAGAGTAGGTCAAACTCCTATGTCAAGGTCAAAGGGTCAAAGTGGTTGTTATCCAAAGAAAGGTGATGTCACAAGGATTACATATATGAAGTATGAAAGCCCTAGCATCAACCAATTTAAAAGTTATGGCCAAGGTTAAAGTTTTTCATAAGTAGGCCAAACTCCTAGGTCAAGGTCAAAAGGTCAAAGTGGTTGGTATCCAAAGGAAGGTCTTGTCACAAAGATTACATATGTGAAGTATGAAAGCCCTAGCTCCAACCGTTCAAAAGTTATGGCCAAGGTGAAAGTTTTCAAAAGTAGGTCAAACTCCTAGGTCAAGGTCAAAGGGTCAAAGAGGTTGATGTCCAGAGGAAGGTCTTGTCAGAAGGAATACAATTGTGAAGTTTGAAACCCCAAGCACCAACTGTTCAAAAGTTATGGCCAAGGTTAAGGTTTACAAAAGTAGGTCAAACTTCAAGGTCAAAAGGTCAAAGTTGTTGATATCCAAAGGAAGCTCTTGTTACAAGAAATACACATGTGAGGTTTGAAACTCCAAGCACCAACTGTTCAGAAGTTATGGCCAAGGTTAAAGTCTCATAAAATTTTGCGAAAGTGGGTCAAACTCCAAGGTCAAGGTCAAAAGGTCAAATATGATGGTACCCAAAGAAAGGTCTTGTCACAAGGAATATACATGTGAAATATGAAAATCATAGCTCCAACCAATCAAAAGTTATGGACAAGGTTAAAGTTGACAACAGACATACAGACAAACAGTCAGACAGGACAAAAACAATATACCCCCGGGATCTTTCGATCCGGGGGCATAAAAATTATAGGTATCCAGGCTTTTCAAGAAGATTTCATGATTTTCATACTTATATGGTACTTTAGTTTCCTCTATTTATTTCAGTCATTTTATAATGCATAGTGTTTAAAGCATTTCCTATCAATGCATAACACCATAATTTTTTTTAAAAAATTTCATATCGTGCAAATAAACATTGGTTCTAAGGCTAGTATAAAGGAAATTCGATTTTTTTAAATATGTATTTTTAAAAATACCTTTAAGGGGGGTACAAATATAACTTTTTATAAGACCGTCTCTAAGAACTTCAAAGAACATTGAATCACATTGAGACGCATAAAATAACAAGATGTGTTTGTGAAACACTGATGCCCCCGTATGGCAGCTTATGGCGAAGGTTAAAGTTTCTTCAAATGCAAGTCAAAATCCAGGCCAAAAGATAAAAAATGTTGATACCCAAAGAAAGGTCTTGTCTCGAGGAATACACCCAGATACAACTGTTCAAAAGTTATGGCCAAGGTTAAAGTTTTTTAAATAAAAGTCAAACGTCAAGGTCAAGGTCAAAGTGGTTGGTATCCAAAGGAAGATCTTGTCACAAGGATTACATATATGAAGTACGAAAGCCCTAGCATCAACCATTCAAAAGTTATGGCCAAGGTTAAAGTTTTTCAAAAGTAGGTCAAACTCCTAGGTAAAGGTCAAATGGTCAAAGTGGTGGTTGGTATCTAAAGGAAGGTCTTGTCGCAAGGATTACATATGTGAAGTATGAAAGCCCTAGCTCCAACCATTCAAAAGTTATGGCCAAGGTAAAGTTTTTCAAAAGTAGGTCAAACTCCTAGGTCAAGGTCAAAGGGTCAAAGTGGTTGATATCCAGAGGAAGGTCTTGTCACAAGGAATACACATGTGAAGTTTGAAACCCTAAGCACCAACTGTTCAAAAGTTATGGCCAAGGTTAAAGTTTTTCAAAAGTAGGTCAAACTCCTAGGTCAAGGCCAAAGGGTCAAAGTGGTTGATATCCAAAGGAAGGCCTTGTCACAAAGAATACACATGTGAAGTTTGAAACCCCAAGCACCAACTGTTCAGAAGTTATGGCCAAGGTTAAAGTCTCATAAAGTTTTGCAAAAGTGGGTCAAACTCCAAGGTCAAGGTCAAAAGGTCAAATATGATGGTACCCAAAGAAAGGTCTTGTCACAAGGAATACACATGTGAAATATGAAAGTCATAGCTCCAACCAATCAAAAGTTATGGGCAAGGTTAAAGTTGACAACAGACAAACAGACAAACGGACAAACAGACAAACGGACAAACAGATAAACAGACAAGCAGACAGACAGGACAAAAACAATATACCCCCGGGATCTTTCGATCCGGTGGCATAAAAATTGTTGCATAAAAAGATTTCAATTTCAAGCTTCATTTTGAGTCTTTTGGAATTAAACTATAAATTAAAGAGTTATCCTTCCTGGCTGAGGATCGGATATCCTTAAGGCAAAACACGACATTGATAGAGGCATTAGTATAAAAAAATTGACGTACGTACGATTCTTAGAATTGGTTGGCTAATTCTAATTGTTTTGTATTTGTGTTTTTGAGGAGATGGGGGGGGGGGGGGTACTGAATTATATGTTATATGAACAATATACCATTATGTACTTACTGTAATTACAACAATATTATATTTTTGTTATGAAGCTTGTTGAATTTAATGCATTTAACAGCGTAAGAAGACAACAACGGATAAAGCATAAATCAAATATTAAGTATTATTTTAAAAAATCTTCAAAATATACATTGGTATAATACATGTCGCGGTGTTTTTTTTGTGTAATCTCTTAGTTGAATAGGATGCAAGGGTTGGTAAAATGTTAAGTCACAAATGCCATAAAATCTTGAATAATAAGTCATTTTAAAAATTGTATACACCAATACTTATATCGATTTCAAGTAACGGATCAGTCCTCGTTTCTTGGAAATCTCCATCTCCTTCTAGGCAGTTTTAAAGAAAATTAGATATAGCACGTAGGATTCTTAGAATTTATTTTATAATTCAACTGTTATTTCTGTTTTGTTTGGCTTATTTTAATTGTTTTGTATTTGTGTGCTTGAGGAAGGGGGGGGGGGGTGTTTAACTTTATGTTATATACGAACAATATACCATTATGTAATTACTTAAGAAATAAGGTATCATTTTTAAGAGGGCTGGGTGGTCGTGGCCATTTTTAGACTATATTGATCTCCTTTAGAAGAAGAGCTCCATATAAAGATATACAAAAATGATCAAATTTTAAAACTAAAATGTATGATTTTTTTCTTTGCCAAATGATAGTTGACAGCTTAAGATATCATATCTAAAAAAAATAAGTTATAACTGATGGTTAATTCGTTGACCCCCCAACCTCCTTAAGGCTTTATGGTAAATTTGATCTCGTACCAACCCGTATTTATATCCCGATAGATGTTTAAAAATTATACCTTATTACTTATATTTACATTTGTGACTTATTCATATTTTATATTTGTCTGATTATAATCTTTAACGTGTGAAGTGTTTTATTTTTCAAACTCAACGGCACGTGTTTAATCCATTGATTGCGCGTCGACCCTACGTCACTGAGAAATTACGTCGAACGTTTATGACGTGAGGAACCCGTGGATACATATTGCTTTCAATAGTATTATATAAAGGAGAGCATTTGCAAATGTAAATGTTGTAATTACAACAATATTATATTTTTGCTATGAATTGAAGCTTGTTGAATTTAATGCATTTAACAGCGTAAGAAGACAACAGCAGCCAAAGTATAAATCACCTATTAAGTATTGTTAAAATCTTCAAAATATACATTTGTGTGCTACATGTCCCGGGGTGTTATTTTAACCTCCCCATGTAAATATGTTAGTATAATCAAGCATTGTAATGGCACATTTTACTCAGTCTTAGATTAAAATTGAAATAGGAGTGGGCAGCAGGTGTAAAGCCTCCAATGGTACAAAGTCTGAATAATTATATCAATTGAAACATGTTGTGATTGATTGAAGAAAATAACGCGATTTCCTTATGTTTACACTCTATTAAGAAAATAAAAGCACCTAAACCTAGATAAACAATCTTCTCTAGACCAATTAAAAACCTACATGCAGGCTTCAAAACAGTTAAGTGATACGAATCTTCATTGAGTTGCGTTGAATGAATGAAGATTGAATGAATTGCTTTAAAAAATCCTGTTTTCACATTGAATCCCCATCCCCTCCCCTTTAATTTTTTTTTCGAAATCAAGCTCACTTTTACAATTCAATGATATTCCGTAATAACATTTATAAAGATACATTTTTCTTGGATGAGTTCATAGTTTTAAAATGCAGGTAATTTTTTTTTAAAACTTTATAATCAAGTCTAAAAATATCTCACGAAGACGGAGGGTGTGGGTGGGAGTAGAGCGTCGGCTTCTTACACTTAATATGCGTTCGTATGAAAAAGTTTATATTTAATCATTACATTAATGAAAAACATTGTAACTTGAACGAATTGTTATATAGTTCATAAATCATAATAAGCAATTTTAATAACATGCCGTCTTAGCCAAATTCTCGTTACAAAACATGATCAATCTTAAGGTATGGAGTTTTAATCCAAGTGACATATACAACATACCAAAACAAAAGCATTTATTTTTGTTAATATTTGCATGTTTCTATTCATTTTCAGGAGTTTAATTACAATGTACATCTCCAAATACCAATATTAAGAAAACTTGTGTTGTAAAATTGACGTCATCTCGCCTACTATGAGGTCATATTCTATCACTGACCTGCCTATTGATTATATAGTGAAAATGCATAATTTCTTTGAAAATATTCTTTTCTGCTCCTGGTTATAAAGCAAAGATGTCACAATATAAACGCAAGGGTTAGAGTCAAAGGAATCTCGGATTAGGGGTTTATTGGATTGGTCTGTGTTGAATCTAAAGTGAAAATGCATCGTTTCTTTGAAAATCTTTTCTGTCCCTGGGCATCTCGAAGGCAAATTAACACAGTAAACTTTTAAAAAGCAATGGTTTTTAAACCAGATTTTTGAAATTCTGAACCATTTGGTCAAGTGTTCTGGTTCTGGCCAGGGCTCTATTACTTTGCATTCTACTGAGAGAAGTTATTCCACTTTGCCATTCACGTTTGATATTTAATCACTAGTTGTAAGTAATGTATTTATAAAGGTTAACAGAATAAGAGAATTATGCAAGAATTTGTATTGTACAATACAGAAAAGTACTTTCCCAGTTTTAATGATGAGGTAGACTTGTAATTAATAGATAAATAAAAATAAGACAAAAAAAACTTATTTATTAAATGTTCTTCAAAGACCAAGAGAGACCAATGTTAGAGTTTGTAAAATAATTCTGAAGAACCGTTGTTTTGATAAATAAATTGTCTGCATGGTGATAATGATGAGGTCAAGAACTGCTACTGAGTACGATACTACGCTAATTTTCGTTGATCCTGGTCATTCTATTTCTCTTGGGTTTGTGCAATAAAGCTTCATCTATCAATTTATTTTATACTTTTAAGGATCCTCTAAATTGTTGTATTATATTCAGGTGACCGTTAAGGCCCTTGGGCCTCTTGTTTGTATGTTTTGTATTTTATTTTTACTTAGATTTTTTGGAGCCCCCCCCCCCCGCCCTTTTTGAAACCGTTGCTACGGGCCTGCTTTGTTAGTATATATACGTCACTGGAGCCATAGAATTATTTTCACATCGGGTTCGGAGTACTTAGTCTATTATTAAACCGAAACTTGCGACTTCCGTTATGTCGAGGCAGTTGTAGTCGGTGGTAATCGTTACGGCCGTAGAATTTTAAGCATTTAGGCATATTCTCTCACTATTTACAAGAAAATAGGTAAGAAAATTGAAAATAGATCTTTGTTTTAATGCAAGATCGAGGTTAATCTGTGCATGTTTGATTGCTTTTATTTGGGTTTGGAAAATGGGTCCGAGGCTATCCGCACGACGTGCTAATCAGGTCCAGCACAATCTCTTGATTTAGCTATATAGCTTGAAAAAGCTATATAGCTTTATGAACCTATTCAAAATAGCTTGATAAAGCTATTTATGTGCAGTTTTTCAGAAAAATGTGTTTTGTAAGAAATAGACAAAAAGTCGCAAGTATTTGACTATTCATATATGTACTATGGGCTATCAAAACAACAAACTAATTCAAAGATGGTTCTAACATTGCAGCATTTGAATACTTTTAAGCAAAAGATGAATTTCCATTGTTTGAGTAACTGTACACTACTTTGTGTGCGTTGAGGCATGGATAAGTATGATTACTTCTCATTGTACTGAATTATTACCAATCAATTATCTTGTTGACCATAATTGGCCTCTTTTATAATTTCAATGAAGAAGTAACTGTATCAATTGCTTTATATAGCCCCAAAACTTTTAGAACTTTGAGTACAAAGTCTCTTAAGGAGACGTAATTTGATGAGTGATTTTTACATGCATTATTTTCAGAAGAGTTCAAGGTTGAATATTATCACTGCACCAAGGTGCGACTTTTTGTGCATGCTGAGAAAATAACACATTTAAGAAAAAAGTGTGATAAAGTAGCTAAATCAAGCTATTCTGAATAGCTTAATAAAGCTATATAGCTTTTTCAAGCTATATAGCTAAATCAAGAGATTGTGCCGGACCTGCTAATTACCGATTATATCCACAGGACAATCGTGCCAATTGCTTGTTATCCGAATTACAGTCGTGCTTATAGCGAAGACTTTTTGCACGACAAATATTAAAAAAAAATTAACAACAAAGAATAGTTAAATATTTATATTATGTATAATTTTTTTTACTTACCGTTTTGCTATGGACGAATTTTTGTAACTTAGTAAATATTTTAAACCTTTCAACGCTTTTGGACTATTTTTATCGTTTCTGCATTGCCCTAACAATTAAAATGTGGCATGAAAGAAAGCATAATGAACATTTACATACATATTTAATTTTTAAGATGTTAGTCATATCAGGGACCTATATATCGCCAAACCCTCTAGCTCCTTCATTAACCTAACTCCATCACTTTTGGGAAACTCCGCGCTGTTTGTAAACAATTGCGATTGTGACGTCATTTTTTACATGCTGAAAATCTACAATCAGTTGCCGAGAAATTATGACAGTCAAGTTCAAGAATGCGTCAAAATAAATAACAATTACACGTGATCTATTTTACCTATCAAATTTTATGTGAAATCAGTAAGAATTTTTTCCTTCATGTGCTATTCCATCGATACCTCCAACATGTGCGTTAATATGCTCATTTTTACATGTCAGTCGTATTTATGAAGGTCTTTGACAAAAGATTAATAAGACATACCATACTGTAAATGGCTAAAAATATTTTATTTTTCATCTCAATTTGCCCTAATACGCTACACGTTGAAGATAATGTAGCGTGACGTTTTTACATATAAAATTCGTTATATTAATGTTATTTTTGTTGTTGTTGATACTTTTCCTAAAATACAATTTAATACTATTTTTAAACTTCAAAACTAATTTCCTATGTTTACAAGTTTAAGATGAAGGGAGAAAAAAACCAAAGTGGAAAAAAATTATAATCAATTCATTGACATATTGTAGAGGGCCCTGGTGACGGAGTTAGGGTTCATTGAATGTAATGTACACGGATGTGATACGCGTTTTATATATAGAAGTTTTGTACAAGCCCAATAACTAATTTTTTAAAAATTTATTTTATTGCGCACAAGAAGTTGCACTCGGTTCTGGATTTATTTGTCCAAATTCTTACCTCAACTGCACAAAAGCTTGATTTCAAAAAATTCCTTAGACCACTACTCTTGTAGTTGACATCTTTACGTAGCCCTTTTGGCCGAATTGTCTAGCCACCCAAAATAGCAGTATTAACAGGCGAAATTTTGGATGGTCTTAATTTCAGGCCCAGGAGGGCTATTAACAACGGTTATAGGAAATGTTTTGATGTGGGAATAGTGCAAAAATGTGTTAGGAACACACAGTCAGTAATATTTTAAGATTGCAGTTTAAAGATACAGAGAAATAAATCGAGAAACAGCCCACTTTTTTGTGCGCAATAAATATACAGTTTTTTCTATGGGTGGCAATGTAGCTCTCCGGTCTGTCAATTTTTGTTTCCGGAGGGCTACAGTTCTGCAGCTACGTTCATTACTAAGTGTAGCAAACAAGAAACAAATCAAAAAAAAAATTGAGAGAGTAACCTGGGGTGTTTTCCGCGCATGGTGAGTGACGGAGTTTGGCAGGGCTCGACATTAACTTTTTTCCCTACTTGTTTATTCGGACAAGTGACCAAGACATTTACTTGTCCGAACTTCAACTTTAATTGTCCGAAAATTTTTCAATAAAGATCTAATACTGTCAACTTGAAAACCAGTGTTTGAAACTCACTGTAAAATTAGACAGACATGCAGGACTGACTGCTAGTAAAAGTTGTCAGCCCTGCCAAAGATCTACTTGCCCGAGAAAAAAATTGTCTTTTATAAATTTGTTTTTTTACGATAATGTGACTGGAAACCAGGTCACCATAACTTCAAACCAGAATCTATAGACTGATGAATTCTTCCTATTGGCTTGTTAAACTTTGCTACCGATACTATTACTTGATATGAAAAAGATTTATCAAATATATGAATTTTAATTATCGAAAATTTTAACACGTCCATATGGGGCGTCAGTACATGCAAATTTGGTCGCCCACTGCAAAATTTGTGTGTCTCGGGCGGTCGGGCACACGGTTATTTCAAACACTGTTGAAAACTAAAATAAAGTCCATTAAACATGACATGTGCTTGATTTGTTCGTGATGTTATTGATAAATACAACAAACACATAAAACAAATTAAATTTTATCTAACAACAACAAGTTAACCTGTCAACATCAAACAGAATCCAAACTTTGTTAAGTTTGTAAGTTCCATGCCTTTTCAGTAGTATGCAATTAGTGAACTTCAATCCCGATCAAATGTGAATCAAAGTCCGGTTTTTATGTAGGGCTTCCGTCTTGAAACTACCTATTAACTTTCAACAGTCGTTCTTTTTATTATTTAGATACTTCTTTACATTAAAATGCACTTGTCCAATCGGACAAGTGCCCAGCAATATTCACTTGTCTGTAATTTTTTTTCAATGGTACCGGACATGTGGACAAGCGTTAATGTCGAGCCCTGTTTGGGTAGTAGGGAATACTAAGATTTTTCTCTGTTTAGCGTCCACCCATCTTTCAAAACCCTACCTACCTATTCACAAAAAACACACAAGCCAGAAAATAAAAGGCATAAAAATGACATCATTCAAAGGATTTGATTTATTTCATTTATTTTTCACATAGCAAAATGAAGGTATTACCGGTAAATGCTTATAATATACCTAATATGACATATTGTTGACAAATGTTAAGAGAAATTGACAGAATTCAAAGATTTTGACCAGAATATTCAATTTCAGGACTCCTGATTTTTTTTTTCCTGATATGGGTGTCAAAAACCAAGGCGCACACAGATACTAAACATAAAAAAATCTTGTAATGTCCTTACCGAAGTTATTCGCGCAATGGTCGTCTGATTGCTTAAGATATCCGCATGATAGTCATGCTGAAAACGAAGGGCTTTTTGCATGACAAATTATAAAAAAAACTAGATGAGATCTCGTTGCGAGCAACGAGTAGGTCTTCCGTCCGATTTTTCGATAAGAGGAGAAATGATTTTGACTATGATCTTTGTTCAAAGATAATAATATATACACTTCCCTAATTAGATTTCATTCTATTGATTTATATAACAAAGAGCTATAGATGACAGGCTTTTAGCCCCTCTAAGCCACTAGTTTGAGGGGTCAGCCCCTTTTTCTTGATATCAACTGAAAGGTCTTGTGAATTTGAAGACTTTTTGTTCAACAACTATTCAGAGATTTCTTTTTGTTGTGGAGATATGCTGGACGGAAATATTTAGGGGCCATCCCTCCAAGTCCTCAATGGAGCCGTTTGACAAAAACTGAAAGGGTGCATATTGTTTAGAACATTATTCTGACTATCTTTTGTTCAGCATTGCATATCAAAATATTCCCCCTTTTCGAGATATAAATCGTCAAAGATTTAGCATTCTGGCCCCTTGTGACCCCTTATTACGTAACATATGATCAGAATCTTATCATATATTGTTGTAAATCGTTAAGATAATCATCTTTGCTTCAGTAATGTGTTACAGATTATTGATCATTAAAGAGTTATAGATGAAAGACTTTTGGCCCCTCTAAGCCCCTAATATGAATGGTCAGCCCCCTCTTCTTGATATCAAATGAAAGGTCTTGTGATTTTGAAGACTTTTTGTTCAACAACTATTCAGAGATTTCTTTTCGTTGTGGAGATATGCTGAATGGAAATATTTAGGGGCCACCCCTCCAAGTCCTTAATGGGGCCGTTTGACAGAAATTGAAAGGGTGGATATTCTTTAGAACATTACTCTGACCATCTCTTGTTCAGTATTGCTTATCAAAATATTCCCCCTTTTCGAGATATAAATCGTCAAAGATTTAGCATTCTTGCCCCTTGTGATCCCTTATTACGTAAAATATGATAAGAATCTTATCATATATTGTTGTAAATCGTTAAGATAAACATCTTTGCTTAAGTAATGTGTTACAAATTATTGATTGTTAAAAAGTTATAGATGAAAGACTTTTGGCCCCCACTGAGCCCCTATTTTGAGGGGTCAGCCCCCTCTTCTTGATATCAAATGAAAGGTCTTGTGATTTTGAACAGTTTTTGTTCAACAACTATTCAGAGATTTCTTTTCGTTGTGGAGATATGCTGAATAGAAATATTTAGGGACCACCCCTCCAAGTCCT